TTCTCCTGCAATGGCTCGAGTGACTTGTCTGATAAGATTCCGCAAGCGATCTCCCATTGTCTGAACCATTGACGAGATATGATTACCAAGTGTCGCCTGCGACCATAGGCTTGTCACGCAGGATTTGATACGTGCCACTTTCTGCTCGATGGTGAGAGAACCTAGTTGAATTGTAATATCTTCACCCTGTTCTTCCATATAAGTGTCAATTTCAATCTCTTGCTCTCTCGCAGAATCGACGGAAGATATAGGATCTGTCATGATAGGGACAGGTGTAGTTGATGAAGGGCCTTCTGAAGCAGAGCGCTTTATAGAAGATGAAGAATCTGATTGCATAGAGTGAGACCGCTGTCTCTTTCGACTTGCGGAAATCAATTCTGATGGCTTTAAGGAAGGTGATGCTGCAGGTGGGCAAACTCATCATGACATTTAAATGAGAAACCTCCTCGACCAACAAGAACGCGTATGTAACTCTTTTTTCCCCACGGATCGACTAGTATTACATACTCTTTGTCTTTCATGATCAACTAATTAGGGGACTTCGCAAGTTGCCATATAGCCTCGAGTCATATATCTGAATCTTCGATGCTCTGCAAGTAAAATTTTCTCTAGCTGGTATGTCATAAGTAGTATGGTAATACATGAGGTGGCCAGGCATGACTCGGACTTTGTAGCCCTCAGTGATCCCAAAATGGTCGACGGCCACTAATTTGTTGGTATCACATTTGACTAGTCTGAATCGTAAAAAAAATGACCCATGCATATTCAGACGTTCATCTCCATCAGGAAAAACTTCCATTAGACTAAGTTTAAGCAATAAAAATTTATAATAAAAAGACGTGGTGGGTGGGAGCCCGTGATGTCATTGCATTATGAGATAGTGTACTGTTCATGTAAACTCCTTTCTTCCCACTCGCAGCCATCATGGTCGTACAAAGTAAAGCTTTGTCAATCTCATCATGCCATCGTACTGACTGCTCGACCAACTTTGAACACAGGCAAGCATTTCCTGAACACAGCACCCTCTCTCGTGCTCGATTCCTTAGAAGGACTGTGCGCAATCAATACACAACTAGCTCTTGATCCGATCCATAGAGGTAACATTGCAGACCGACGATCAGGATACTAAACAAAAAGATATATAGTCGTCTACCTTGCTGATCAGGACCGCTCCAAAGTTGCTCTCCTCTGTGGAGGTGGTTCTGGTCATGAGCCATCCCACTCAGGTTTCGTAGGTAAATGAGCCCTCGCATCACATTCCAGATCACGCTGACCTGGATGCAGGCCAGGGCGTTTGACCGGTTAGCAGAATACTCTTTATGCGGTCGTGACCTAACCGACATTCACGAAGCTGCTGTGTGTGGACATATCTTTGCCTCTCCAAGTGCTGGTCAAGTTCGCCGTGCAGTAGATCTGATCGACAACAAAAGAGGGTGATTCCATTGTTGCAGCTGTAACTTTATTTGCTAACAATGACTGCATTTAGCACTATCATCGTAGTCAAGTACGGCTCATCGCGACGACTGTTGTAGTATCAGATTTGCTAACTGATCTTGTATGCAGGAATTACACCGGCGATGTCCTCAATTTTGGTCTAGCCAAAGAAGAATATGCGGCCCGTTATCCCGACAAAGCTGACCGTGTCAAGTTCGTCATCGTAGGAGATGACGTTGCTGTAGGAAAAACCCAAGGTAGTATTGTCGGAAGACGGTATGGACATCTATCGAAATTCCACTACATCACTTGAACATCCTACAGTGGTCTTGCAGGTGTTTGTCTCGTCTACAAAATTGCAGGCGCCTTGGCCCAAACTGGTGCCTCTGTAGATGAGGTCTACGATATCGCCCAGTACGTTTCCTCTAGGCTCGGTACTATAGGGGTTGGTCTGGACCACTGTCATGTACGAGTCAACGTTCGAGTGTTGAGGACATCTCTGTATTCACGATACTTCCTCGCTTCGTGCAGGTCCCTGGAACCGCTATTCCCGATACATATTTGGGTGCGAATGAACTCGAAATCGGTCTCGGAATTCACAACGAAAGTGGTCACCGTCGCATTTCTCCTGTTCCACCTCTCAATGAACTCATCCCCACTCTCCTCGACATGATTACTTCCACACAGACAAAGAACGGTCTTTCGTTCCCTTCAAGAATGACGGCACAGACCGTGTTGTTCTTCTCGTCAATAACCTCGGCGGTCTCAGTGAACTTGAACTCGGCGGAGTAGTCGCCGAAGTGAGGCGTGCTCTGGATAAATCTGGGATTAAGATCATGCGCCTGCTTTCTGGCTCTTCATGGTTAGTCGAACCCCTTCAGCTTTACTAGAATCAATGATAATCCTTGCTAGACAAGTCTCAACATGCCCGGATTTTCAATTACGATGCTCCTTCTCCCCGCCGAAAACGACACGGGAACTCCAACCGCTGATTTCATCCTTTCCTTACTCGACGACAGTATCAACACACCCAGGATGGAAATGGTCTTCTAGGTCTGTCCCAAAGCCACCATCTGTCTTTTCGTCCCTCCCGACTGCAACCCACGCGAAGGCCTGGTCAGCCTCACTCAAAGCCCCCGATGTCGATCAATTCAACAGTGCTATAGAGCGTGCATGCCGGGCCCTCATTATTGCTGAGCCCGAGATTACTCGCATGGACAACATCGCTGGTGATGGGGACTGCGGACTTACGCTCAAAGATGGTGCTACAGGTACTTCACATTATGATATTTATATGCATGCATACTCATTATATACATACAGCTGTGCTTGAGGCTCTGAGCAAAAACAGCATCTCTGGCAACGATGTACTTGGCAGCGTCATCACAATATCTCGTATCGCAGAGGATGCGATGGGAGGAACTAGCGGAGCCCTCTATTCGTTAGTGAAGTTCCTTTTGGTCAGATTCATATGTCATAATCATCATGTATCAGAATCTTCTTCTCTGCCCTCGCTCAAGCGCTCGCTAAAAGCTCCTCCTCGATCGCCACACAAGAAGTATGGTGCACGGCGTTAGAAGCTGCTCTAGGTCGTTTATATACTTACACTCGGGCACGTCCCCTTCTCGTACACTAGTCGACCCCTCACTGCCTTCATCGGTGCACTGTCGTCCGGCCTTGCGGCAGCCGTGAAGGCTGCTAGAGAAGCTGCTGAAGGGACGAAAGACATGGAGGCAAAGGCCGGTAGGAGCGCATATATTGATAGCACAAAGCTAAAGGCTGAGCGAGTTGCCGATCCTGGGGCATGGGGCGTGAAAGTTGTGGTGGAGGCCCTAGCTCAGTGATGGTATTTTAGGCATTCACAGTATTGATTCTCCAAACATGTGACTGATGCGGTCACCATCGGGCCAGAGATAGCCGTGCGTAGCGAGAAAATTGCTAACCAAATTTGAAGCACGAGATAATTTGCCAGTACTTGGTCACTCTGACTGATTGACATGAACATGCATAAATAGGGGCAGGCTCGATGTCATGATCATCAGCCAGGCGAGCAATAATCCTGAATTCATCAATAAGAGTGCCGCAGCCTCCGTGTACTTCAACTGGAAGCAATAATGAAAGACTAGGCTGCACAACGACACTGAAAAACGGTTATCATTCAATTTCAAAAACCTCGTCACTCACAGGAGTTCGATATACTCTCTCTTCTATCTGCATGCAGTGTTCTCTTTCAGTTACAGTAGTGGTCGAAACAACTTGAAGGACCCGAGAATGTTGGAGACAATTGCTCAAGTGAACTTAAATAGCTTGACACCACTGCGAAAACTCGTGGACTATCTTCATAATAGATACATAATGACTAAACACATTTTATCCCAAGGTGTTCATTCCATTCCCAGTCCTGGGTCCTTCTTTCTATGTACACCCATATGTCTCGCAAGCTGGTCCGGCCTCGCGAAAGACTTTCCACACCCACCCTCAGGACAGGGATAAGGGCGTGCACCTGTATGCGTTCGTAACTAGAAACACGGTCTGGTTCAGAAACTATCTGCAATAACTAAAAAGCCTACATGTTTCGACAGATTCGACGACTCAGCGAAAGCCCTGAAGAAAGACAATACATCAGCACTCCAACATCAAATAGAAGAACCCCATACTTCTCGCAAAACTTGCACTTGAACGGCTTGAAACCATTGTGCGTCCGCTTGTGAATCGTCAATGCACCCGTGATAGCAAACGCTTTGCCGCACCCGGGAAAATCACAAACGTATGGCTCTAACAGTGTCCAATGAGCTGCCTGTCGAACGCGAGATGACAGAAAACAGAAAGTACATACTCTCTTGGGTATGCCTCCGCATATGCTGTTGCAGCGTAGCTGTTTCTGAGAAATGTGCATTACATATTTTACACTTAAATGGCCTATGTCCTGTGTGCGACTGCATGTGCCGTGCGACTTTTTGTTTACTTGAAAATCCTTGCGTCCCATTCCGAGAGCAACCCTCCCAGCAACACTCGTAGTGTGCTTTACCGCTGCCGATGTGGGCAGAGAGGATGTGGTTTGTAAGGTCATCAGGAGAAGAGATGTTTGCGTGCACCCACTCCATTTACAAGGTTTGATGGCGTCTGTGAACGGGGAGGGGGAGTCTGGCGGATAAGACTTGTCCAGAGGTGAAGGATAGGGAGGGACGTCTGTGGATGTTTCGTCATGGGGAATAATTTCCGGTGGTAATGCCGTGCGCGCCATCATCGATTGTGGGAAAGGGTAATTGATACCAAAATGATCTTGCATCAAGTGTGTAGTAAGAGCGTCAAGGACAGTATCTGTAAACACGGTTGTCGAAGAGCTTGAAATTGATTCTGTACAGGGTAACATAACACAGTCTCCCCAGTGGCACGACATAGTATTGGTGTCGAATTGTTGATTCTGGGAAGCGTCTGAGCATACCTGCTGAGGGGCTGATTCCTTCGTTAAACTTGGAGGGCGGAGATGGTCCAAGTTGACGTGCCCGACTAGCTCCATAAGAGATGGGAATGTAGCCTTACAGTCCCCCCACAAACAAGTAAACATATCTGGTGAGAACTGTGGTAGGTGTTGTGGCAGGCCAACGGGTGTGAACTGAGTCGCTGCCTGGGAAATGTGGGGTGAAGAAACGCTGAGCTAGTAGATGACGCCGGACATTCGGGAGAAGCGTTACCCAAAGGGGCTATGGTACTGTATTCTGGAGAAAATCGGGGTACATGTTGTTCGCTGTAGTCGCTCTCGTCGCATCCACACAAAACCATTTGTTGACTGTGGGTTCCAGTTGAACTGTGTGAGACTTGGGTCAAGGGACTTTGGCTGGGATAGATAAGAATGATAATCGGTGCAGCATTGCAGCTTGAAATTGAAACAATTAGGAAAGGCGTGGACACACACAATATGGCGTACCAATTCTTCAAGACCAGAACAATCACCGCAGTCCTCGTCAGGAACACAGGCGCTATCGCAGATCATGTCACCGTCTGCAATGTGGCAACTGGGCTCAGGGTGGGTAGGATCGTTACAGGCGACGACGACACACTTGTCAGTGCACTGAGAGGTCATCTCTAGTATGGGGCATGCGGGTTCTTTGCATTCATTCATAGACCCTTGTAAACAGTGTGAGCACGGCGGATACAGGGAGTGTATTAATGAACCTCCACGATCCATACCAACGTCAAACCCTGGAAGGTCGTAAGGGCGGAATGAATTGTCATGGAGTTGCATGAACAAATAAGTGTTGCTCGTCCTCAGATCGGAAAGCTTGTAGTAAGATGGGCTGATCGTCAGCGACGGCGATGACGAGAGCTAAGGGGATCTTTATGTGGTGAATATCTGGAAAAATGAGGTGTTAGGGAAAGGGAAGCGTTTCCTTGATCGAGTTGATGTGTAATTGCAGTATTTTTCATTGCGTTATGAGCTTGGTGACTGCGAGGGTCCTCTTCGGCGCTTCAACGTGATAGTGGTACGGGAAAATTGGTCATGGACAATGGCGTAGGGAGTAGCGTCACGTGCGTGAAGTCGGAGTTTGAAAATCGACCAACATTTGGCCCGAAAGCTGTTCATGATGGCGAGCTATAATGTCCGGAGCGACAGACTCCACATTATTCAGGAGCCATTTCCGAAGAATGGACTCATTTTCGTCCTTGTCGTGCGGGGCAGTATAAAAAATAGTGGAAAGGCAAGCTACCGCAATTTTCCAGTTAGACCGGTGTGATGGCGAGGATTTTATGTCGTTGTTGTTGTCCTCAGCGTTCCCTTGCCTAAATGTCCACATAAAATTAGTGCTGCCACGGTCCGGTCCAGAACCGGACCGGAAAACGGTTCTCGGTTCTAGGTCTTCCCGAACGGTCCCATTCTGGTTCGGCCTTGCCGAACCATTCCGAACCATTATCGACTTCGACTTCGACTGCGACTGCGACAAAGTCGGTCTCCACATCAAACTGCTGTCTTCGGGATTTGCACTCTTGGTTAATCAGGCTACCTTCAGCCTTTTCAAGGTAAGTACTAATCAATCAATTTCTCACATGACTTTCTATCTCTCTTTTTCAAGGCACCTTTGATTTGCGTCCCACCAATCATCCAGACTAAACCATCACTCAGCTCCATCTTGCCGTCGTCCACCCACAAATTACAGGTATGTGCATCTGAATTTAATTTTTTTTTAAAAAAAATCTCATTTGAGTCAGGCTCTATAATTATGTGCGTGCATCCTTTTTGTCACTGGCGAAAGCCATCTTCCTATCGACTGTCTCATTCAAATCGTTTTGAAGTTTTTGACTTGATACTAACCTTACACTTCAGGTACCCTCAGCTCCTGTTGCCAATAAACCCAGCCTATTCCCTACCTCGTCTACTCCACAAATAACCACCACCACCGCACCTACCACGTCATCTACACCCTCCATACCGGACTTTTTCGCTAAGCCAATTGCACCGTCGACGCCTGCACCTGCAGCTCCTTCGTTTTCTTTTGGTCCCATGCCCGCACCGCCGCTGTTCGCTGCACCTACTTCCACATCCACTAATCTCTTCTCTGCACCAGCAGCATCAAGCACGGAAACCGGCAAACCAGCACCATTCCCCTTCGCAAAACCAACCCAGTGTACTACCTTCCTCGACGCCAACATCTACATCGACACAAGCTAACCCACCATCGATATTTAGTACCACTCCGAGCAACGCTGCCCCAACTTCTGCCCCATCCACACCTGCACCGCTGAAGTTTGACTTTGGCAAGAAGCCTGCGAGCACGATCCCAAAGCCTACTGCTGCACCTTCCCCTACCACAACTGTTGCCGACGCCGCAAAACAGACTTGCCCTTTATTTGCGTTTTCGGCGGCTGCTCCCCAATCCAGTCCCCTGGGAGCGAGTTCGCACGGCTGATCATTTTCATGAAGGCCGCTTACCGTAATGGACATCTTTCAGCAGCTACAGAGGCAGAGGAGTGCGCACAAATGTTATTAGAGTAGTTACTCAATGTGTAGACTAGTATTTCGTCAATTTTTTTTGCTGTCCCTACAGAAAAATTTTCGGTTCGGTTCAAGTTCAGACCGCAAAAAAACCGAACCGGACCACGGCAGCACTAATGTCATAAATACTGCTTTTTCCTTCCTGCATCCATTAGCATCCACTTTTAGCCAGTCATCGAGCAGTCTGCCATTGCTCATCAGCTTGCCTTCTTGGTACCTAAGACAGACCCAGACAAGGACCCAGACGAGGGATTCAGCATCGTGCCGGTACTTGTGCATGACTTTGCCTTCGAGGCCCTTTTTCTGGAGCAGGTCGAATGCCATGAATGGAACTGTTCCTGTGCACTCCTTCCCGCTGGGCCCATCGGGTTTGATCAATGATAAGTCGTAGTCCTTGAGGACCCCGAGCCATTGACCGTTCAGCCCGTAGACCATAAGATTGTTAGGACTGATGTCGCGGTGATGGACATTGTGCTTCCAGAGTGTGTAATGACCTGTTGGCTCACTTAGGGACAATGAAGAGTACAGGAAAAATCAGACATACATAGCGCAACTTGCCACCATGTGCTGAGAAATTCGTCTCCACTCAGCGACGTGATTGGGATAAGCTTCCTGAACATAACGATATACAAAATGCGACTGCCCCCTTCAGCGTCAGCGTCTTGAATTCCTAGCGACCTCCTGATTTTGGTCGTGGACGTCTCGTCAAACTTGTGGAACCAGACCATGTCCGGGATGTGGCCCTTCACTGTTGATTCCTTGCTCGCAATGCTATACACGTTTTGAAGTATCTCGTCCTCGCTCTGACGTCGCTCTTCTGGCCAATAGAGCTTGGCGACCAGTTCCTTAGAATCGTTACCACAAACATCTCTCTTCTTTTTGTCCGAAAGATACTTGCTTTGGACAGAAAAGACATTAGTTGCGTGACCGTGCAGACCGAAGTGAGTCATGCGTGTGTCAGACTTCAGGTCCAATTTGAGGTTGACATCTCCAACGACGACGTCGCAAGAAACTCCAGGAACGTGGGTAAATTTCAGATTATGGCCCCATTGCTCGTCTCCCATGCGCTGCATAGCAAGCAGTAACACAAGGAACCGGGGAAGATCCTTGATAAAGTTGATGCCGGCGCATTGAATGGCATTTTCTCGATTAAAATACCAGATGTAGATGATATCATCTAGTACGGGCGATCAATTCAACAAGAGGCCTAAGATATTCAGTCGACTTACTGTTCACTACATAAGATATGACGCACTGCAGCGCGATGTTGGCAGTGAATAACACCGCAGCATACAAACCATTCTGGATGTTTGGATGAATCTTTTCGGGCTCCTCTGTGATTCTCTCTGGTTCCGTGGAGTTCTCATCGGTTTCTTCTGGCGCTTGCAAGCAGGTTCGTTGAAGTCCAACTCATCAGATTACGTTTGCTATCTGATTTTGCTTTCAGCTGCTCGGACGTACGCGTACCCCTGCGCTGAATTGCGAAGGTCAGCATGAAGTGTAGTAGACACTCTGTATGGCTTACGTTTCATCCGATGGCATGTTCGAGCTTCGAGTAGAAGCGGCGGCAGGCGCAAGAGTCGCAGCTGTTGGGTCAAGGTTTCCGTTGCATTCCAAGGTTCAGATACTTGAGCCTTGGATTAAAGGGAGCGTATTTTGGTCACTTGGTAAGGCAATACTGGAGGATCCAGAGTGGAGCTGCGTTTGAACTCCACGGTCGATCGAACATCGATCCATTTGAAGTTGCCGTGAAGCTTCTTCGCCGCTCAGCTTTGTCATGTAAAACAACTTCGATATTCTTGGTTTTGATCCTCGCCGTCGTTACCCATACTAGCCTGGCCCTTACCCTTATGCCTCTCTACCCTCACCGCAGCCTTCACGCTTTCCGAGAGACGAGAACAACGTCCGGGCTTGACGCATAGACTTTGCGCTATTTTTTTTTTTTTTTTTTGAGTGCACTCGTGTCCTGTCCTTGTCATTATGATAGAACAAGATGTCCATATCGTTGTTTTGCGGGAAGCAGGTAGTCCGGAGACTTCCACGCTCCTCAAGTTTGAGGAGTGCGGCATTGGCCGCACGCACAACGACGGGTACGAACTTGGCTCTGTGGCGCAATTGGCACTGGGAAAAGACGCTCAGCTTCTTTCATACCACGTGAACTCTCTACCTACAATTCAGTCCAGTTATCCGTGATTTCTGGAGTGTTGTTGCAGATGTCCAGGACAGCTGTAAGAGAATCTTGAAGCAATTTCGACTTCTCACTGCTGGGACGCTCATCGAAGCCACAGAGGAGCCACTGTAGCATTCCATCGGCTTCACATTTCTTGTAATTCTCCACATCCCAAGTGATCCATGAGGGGACATCCCTGACCCTGCGTGCATGGTAAAGTTCGATATAGATATATAAGTGACCGAGCAAAAAGAATGATTGACGTACCTGATGCCTAGAGTACTAATGTGTTCGCTGACAGCGGCACTGCCATTGACCATGATGCCAATGAACTGAACGAGTTACTGCCAGTAGAAAATAAAAAGTGCGGGCAAGAAAATGCAGTTCATGGTTCGCTTTTAAACCAGAACGATGCTATTGTTCTGAAATGAAATAAAGGCAACAATCGATACCTCAGTAGAGATTCGAATGTTGATGTACTCTGAGCCACCGTCATGGTTGAACCGCTTGAACATTGAATCCGAGTATCATTGATCTGGCACTGCCATCGCACATAAACTTCTTTCGATCACATGCCCATCCTGGCACCCACAAACGCCCCATCATGATTATGACTTCGATTTTTTTTTCTTTGTTCCACGCGCAAGAAGTAATTGTGTTTTGGGATTGCTACTGCGGGTCCACGCACCGCTTCGTCGTTGACCGCCGCCATGATTTATCCAACTTCTCATTGTTCTTTTTTCAGTGTGACAAAGGAGTCAAGTTCGCAGATCATATCCGTATCAATAAATAACATGATGCCATCAGATTTCGAAGCCGCCATCCTGGTCCACAGCACTACTCCATGATTTCCCCAACAAGCATAATCGCAAAGTCCGACTCATTCTTTTTTGCCAGCGTGACAGAGGAGTCAGGTTCGCAGTTCATATCCGTATCACCAACATGATGCCATCAGATTTCCAAGACCTCATTCTGGTCCACAGCGCCACTGTGATTTCTCCAATGAGAAGAATTCGCGACTTCAGTGAGTCAAATGATCATTCCTTCTGAATCATCACTGTTATTCGTTTTTTTTGGCGATCCGCTCCAGTGTCTGCACGAGGAACAACATCTTGCTGCAAAATTGCTTATCTCGGGCCAGCCTCCGCATTACTACCATTATACATCAGATTCCAAGGTCACCACCCTTGTCGCCACTGTGATTTCCCCAACAAGCATCACCACACATATCATGACTCGATCTATTTCGAATGGGTTACTTCAATCAAAGGGAAATATACTTACTTCTGATCCTTGACAGTTGACTGGATGATCCCGTCATCATTGTCTTGTTCGAGTATCGCATTCACTGTATCTTGCTCGCTAATAGAAGACAATGCAGCAGATCCCTCCTACATGCAGTATGACTCCTACTTTGAGCGGTAGCTGAGGCTTTCTCCTCTAATGACGGCAAAAATTTCCCATGGAAGCCGACGCAGCTTGTGAAAGTATCTGAAACGTCAAGATCTAGGGACCATTTGACCTGCGGAACAAGGCTAGCAGCGGCGAGAAACAGTTCAGGATCCGTAGAGGTCTCGAGCAGCCACTTGACGCCAGGTGCTTCGAGATTGGTGGTGGGTATGTCAGGGAGGGTGAGGACGTATTCATCCCCCAACAAAAAAAATCCAAATTCAGGTCGAACTCTTGTGCTTCCGAGTCCACGACCTTTGTCGAAACGCGCGAAACAACAAAAGACAGCCACCTCTGAAACCTGGTTGATTAATTGCTGAAGAGATCGTCGTGCGAATGTGCCGGCCATATGTACAGGGCCTGGGTAGTGAAATGAGCACAGAGTATACACTGCTTACATAGTACGACCCAGAACGCGGCGAGCAAACTCATGGACAAGCTTGCACATGCGATCGTTTGGATCCATAAGGTCGGCGCGCTCGGAAACCACGTAGATGCTGGGTCTGTGAGTGTGGAGCCCGCTGCAGCGAGATTGCCCGGTCCGATTTGAACAAGTTGCTTCAAAAGGGCATTCGTGATATCACTGGGGTCGGGACTGAGATTGGACACCATCGTGACAATGAGAGATGTGCTGACAGCAGAGAAAAGGTCCATGTCAGTAGTGTATCGCTCGAGAAACTCGACGTCGTGCTCCTCTGCGACTCGTTTGTACACCCCCTAGAAACGAGACCTATTGTCCTTGCCACTCTTCGATGCGATCGTCGAGTCCTGGAGAACATCTAATACTTGCTTCATGACATTTGCTCTGCATATAGGATATGGTCAGTTGTGATCGCTCAGCTTATTTTTCACTCACAATTCGTTTAGCGTGGGTTGGTCCTTATCCGCCACCACCTTGCTGAGATAATTGAGGAGCATGTTTGATATCATTATTGACGAGAACTTACGGAGATAAATCGCCGACCGATGCAACATTGGGAGTGTTTTTCTGTACGTGAGGTCCCGACGGCTGTGAAGGTCCAGCATTGGAGCTGCAGTTCTGGTGAGGAGCGAGACAGCAGCATTAAGGCAGAAACACATACATCCCCGATGGCAGCTCCGCCAAAGGCTCACAGTTTTTCTCCCCGTCTCATTGTCAGATAGCAGGCAGACTCCAGGACACCACAACCCACTTTTCTGTAGGTCGTACGTTGCCGTTCTCTGGAGAAGGCCGAGCCGAGTCGTTGTGGGCGTGCCGATCCTCAGCACTGCCAGTGTCTGATGCTTGTGGCATGAGGAAGTTACAACTAGGCTACTGTATTTGATCCCAGGCAAAGCCAGTGAAAGGGTCTGAGGTGCGTGGACAGAGCAGTGGTGGTACACAAGAAGTCGTTTGGGCGGCTGCAACCATGTCGAACACATGCTTGCGAGCGTTGACGCCGAGAGCTGCCTGCAGTGGACTGTGACAATATATAGGCTCCCATGATTGGTGTAGTCAGACCGAACGCAAGAAAGAAAGTTGCCGCCTCGAGACAACGTTCTGAATCGGAGGTGGCGTGCCGGAAGGGCTTGCCTGAGTCTCTGACCTGTTGAGTCAATTTTGATCTGTTTTTGCCACTAGCCTGCTGCCTGAGCTCTGTTCTATGACTCTTACTTCGCTCATGACTCATACCTACACATTATATTCGTCATAATATCTCCCCATACATAGGAGCCCATAGATGATAGGGCACCGCTTCTTATGTATTGTTTGTAGCGATATGAGAAATTTGAGTGGAGACTTGCCACGGATGTACAACGATCTGGGTAGTTCGTTGCTTCATAACAGCATCAGAGGGAAAATTAGTACCAACTTGAAATCGATCCTACTTTTCAAAGTCGAGTGACTCTCCAATCGATTTGAATTGTGTCATCAAGGCGCAGTGGTTGTCCCCATCTCACGGCCAGTACTGGAGCGCTGACGTGTGGATTGACTGCGTGCATGAGAGACGTTCAATTAATTGACTGATTTCGATGGATTACAGGGTTATCCCATCCATGTAATATAAGCTTCATACGACGGCCACTCAGTCTTGTATATTTATATTACGTCGTCTGCCGTGGATATGGCTAGGACCGATTTTCACTGTCTGGAATTTCGTGCAATGCTGTCAGCATCCATTATTACAATGGTATTAGCCTGAGAAATCTAAGAGGGTCCGTCTCACTTTGCGATCGATTCCTGCATGTATTCCATGCGTAGATGTCTTCAATATACCTCACCCGGCGTGACCTTGGCGGTGCGATAGAGCGATGGGAGAAATACCACTTCGATAAGATGATCTATGTCGTAGCATCGCAGCAAGACCGTAACCTGCACTTGTCGCACTTTTTCAAGATACTATCGTTGATGGAGTTCCCCAGGGCAAACCGCCTTGAATATGTCAACTACGGCTTGGTGCTCGGCATGAGCGCTGAGCACTCGGAAGGGAACCGCAGTCTTCTTGGATCAGATCATCTGCGAAGCCTTGTCTGTCATGCACGAGCAGATGAAGCGGAATGAGGTAGTTCGTTCCAAACTTTCTTCACTCGTTGATGACTACCTTACTTGACTATGGTGCGTTAATTAATGACAATCGTGTCCGGGCATACGCTTGAAAATAAGCCACTTATGATCTTGAAAATGTATTTAGCAGTCGACTCACTGTAGACGAAAGAACGCTCAGTTTGGCCCAGATGGTGGTACCGCCTGATTTTGAATGATCATAGGTTTCAGAGGCTCAGGACTGGTCACGAGTCTAAGGTCAGAAAGTGTCATGACATAGAACCAATGCGACAAAGCAAGAACAGTTGAATAGCGCAAGTAGCAACACAACACAAGTATAAAAAGCCCGTCATATAAAGTTACTATTTGTATCAACAGTGAGCATCAGTTTCCCCGGCATGTACCTTCTACCTGCCTTGCTGCCTAGTTCACCTCTCCGCCAGCTCGTTCGACATGGCGTCTAGGGCCTCAAGGCCACGAGTCTTGCTGTCGGCGGACGTGGTAGTACAAGTTGTCGGAGGCAGGTGCGTAGAGGTGCTGTGACTGGGTTGTTTTAACGCCATTTCGGCAAGTTCTTGGAATGGTGTAATGTCTTCCGATGCATTATAAGACACCAAAAGCGGAGCAGCAGTTAGTCCAGTAGTTATTCGGGTGGGTAGCACTCGTCCTGAGTTCTTCTTTAGTATGTGTAACTTTTGCGAGAAGGATATATGTACCTAGTCTCTTCACTGCGTCGTATCCCTTGAGTCTTTCCTTGTCGAATTCAGGGTTAACAGAGGAACCCTCCTCCAACGCAAGATAATCAATGCGCTTGTCGATAATAAAGCGATCGTTCACTGTCCATGGTGCGTCATATAGTACCTCGTCTACCCAGCGACAGTGCCGTATAAGCTCGCAACGCTCGAGATGTGAGAAATGAGGTGTGGTGTTGTGAGCTCGACATTGCTCATCCGAAAGCACTCCGACAATAAGATGTACGGAAGGGAAGGAAAGTTTCGCTTGACGGAGCTGATGTACATGCCTAAGATGATCTTTAGCGATTGTGCAGCATCGAGTAGCGACGTACTCACCCAACAGTCAATACATCGAATACGCCATCAACATACACTCTTAAAGTCATGTTGTCCCGTGGGTACTTTCTTGCACCAGAAGTACTAAGTGCATTCTGCACATATGTTTGTATATCCCCAGGACTCAGTGCCACCGCACTGAGTCGTTCCCTGGCTGCATCAGAGGGGGGAAGCTCATAAGTAGTCAAGGCTGGAATATGATGCAAGTCGGCAATGCTGGACTCCAAAGAGCGCTGACCAGGGTTGGAGATGACATCGTAATCTTCGTCGCTCAGGACAGACGAACTATCCATTATGGAGCAAGTGGAATGGAAAACACGTTAAGACCGTACGCACGCGGTGGCGTTGGATTGCCTATGCTGGTAAAAATGAGGCCATTCCTCCTTCTGCAAGGAACATCGAAGTAGAACTTGACCTGCTTCGTGGGAACTTTTAAATTGGCCATAACCAGCCTTGATGTAACGCTCGTCAAAGGCCATCGTCGAATATTGGCGATGGCAACCAATATTCTCGTTGTTAGCTTTCTACTGACTCATAAATTTCATTCCTTCTCTCATATTCTTTAGTATTCCTAACTCTACAGTATTTAAACCGTTCGTTTATTACTGGTAGAGTAGTTGATCATTTCCACCCCCGAATATATTTACGTTCGGACTGTTCTATCTGTCTGAAATAAGTCTATTCTACGAAATCTCGACTCTACTGTGTGTAACGCTTTTCATAGCGCCACACTTGATGCTCGCATATTAGAATTTAGCCTGTTGTTCTGACATCTTTCTCTCTTTGAAATTTCACTCTATCATCCAGAGCGACATCGTGCTTTTCCCGCGAAGAGAACAATTTTAAATAAATTGATCACTGATATTCATGCAGCCAATGGCGGTATGATCCCAGGCAAGAAGGCAGATCCCTTATTCTCCTCATACCACTTCGAATCGTGAGCAATCAATACCTGCACTCTCGGAATTTCCAACAACGACCGGATCCTTGTGATATTCTCCACAGCTTTCTCTTTATCTTCATGCATGCACCTGACGCAACCTGATGGATCAATACTATGTGCGACCTCTTTCTCGCCCGTAATTAGTCTGTAGTCGTGAGCGGAATCTCCTCCAAGCAGAATCCATGCACCATCTGAGGTGGTGCGCGCAAGTATGTTTATGTGTCCTTTGATGTGCCCTATAATGCTGATTTGTTAGGTCATGCATTCCAAGGCTTCCCGTATCACAAACCTGGCGCATCAATCACATACATGCTGCCATCGCCGAAAAAATCCAATGCAAGCGGAAATGGTCCAATGGGTACATTGAAATCGGATAGAGGAAGAAACTTAATATGCTCACGCGGAAGAGCGGCCGAAGAGAAGAAGGAGTCAGGGTTCATAGGATATCCTGAAGTCAGGAGCTCCCTGCACCCTTCCCCCACAACAAATGTAGCTCTGGTGAATGGCTCGTGGTTCCCGACGCTAATACCGAGCAGTCAATTGTTTTTGGATCTGTCGGCTCTTCCTAACACTCACTGATCCCAGTGCAAGTGGCTAACGATGACAGTTTCAACCTCATCAGGGGAAATGCCTCCCTTAACCAGTGACTCTGCGACTGTCTGGTTCGCAACAGGGGCAAACCCCGCGGCCTTGATGCGCTCCTGGGAGCGAGGGGTGTATCCTTCCAGGTCGCGCCGTATACCTAAGTCGAAAACAACCCATGACTTAGACTTGGAGTGTCGTAGTGCAAAGGCAAGAGATGGACACGATATGGACTCTCCTTGCGAGTTGCCGTCCACAACCAAATCGCAGGGGATGTGAAGAGCTCCTCCCTCAAGTGCCGATACATGCATAAAAGGCTGGTCTACACTGGGTGGAGGAAGCATCAGACCAGTCGATTGTCTAATGGTGGGAGGCGGAGTAGCAGTTATGCTCGTGCATATCATTTCCCCATTTATATATTTCCTCGATAACGCATCCTGTTACTCGTGCGAATTTTTTGGCTCCCCGGGATTGCATGACTTCAAGGTACGAGCAGTTCCGGTCGAAGAATAAATCAAAAAAAAAAAAAAAATTTGACACACAGGATATTTAAGCCCGTTCTTGCTCGTATAAGTTACCTGCTATTACCTGTCTTTTAGCGACGCACTTCCTGTCGTATCCGCAGTACATCTACATATTTCTCCTATTTAAGCAATCTCAGCATGGTAGACTGCGCAACAAAACTTTACTTTATCACGTGACAAGCTTTAGAATATTCGTGGCGACAAGACACCAGAAACAGAAGAGTTGTAGTGTATGTACGTCTTGACGAGGCATCCGTTCAAGAAGCACAATTTGTGCAAAATTGGAGGAGGGGATGGCAACACCATGCAAATTGTATCCTGACCAAATGAGTAATCACAAGCGAAGTCACGCCAAATCACAACTTGCATTCAAAAGAGTGACTTGGCAGCGGGCTGCAGGTGGAATGCTGGAAGGCAGGAGATGCGGCAAAAGTATGACTGTTGGAACCAACTAAGATGGGCTCCTTTGGGTCTTGCATAGTATCTTCAAGTGACGCCAATCTGGGAACCGAGAATATCTGGACGAGCAATAGGGGATTGGTAGTTCTGAATAACTATTGGTACTGGGATGTCAACTTCAGGGGTCTCTGTCCAATTTCCACCATATCTTCAGTGTTGTGCTGAGTGCACACAGTTGCAAAGAGGAATTGCAAGCGGAATGATGCTTCCATCTAATCAAGTAGCGACTTGACAAAGTCGGCCCTGGTATGCACCATCTCACACTTTTGCTGGAATAACTTCAGGGTAGAAAGCTGTCCACTCTTATTCTTCGCACCAAGAAATGTCGTGGGGCAGCCAGTACCTGGTTGCTGAGCAATCCCCTCCGAATATTCTCCAGTGCAAGTTCCTTGTTCACAAAGCATCCAATGATTGATGTGAGTAGTGTCCGATCTCTGATTAATTAGCTGAATTCTCCTACAGAATCAACCCCAGGACCCTTCAGCAGATGCTACACACTAGTATGTTCACGTACTCCCCTGTGTGTCCTGTATATAGCAAGACGATCGGAATGTCAATGAAATGGTATGTGAAAATGAACTAACCTTTCATATCGACTATATACGTACTTCTGTCTCTGAAGTAGCCGATGGACTTTGGGTATGATCCAATGAATGAATTCATATCTACCTCAGAAAGAAATCTGTTCTCTCGATGGGAAAATACGGCCTCTTCTGCCACGGGATAACTATCCCCTTCCATTCTTAAGTAGTTCTAGATCACCGATACTGTGTGGTTGATCAAGAATATTCTTCAAAGAATGCGACACTCACTTGTCCCAGCGCGGTGTCCCGCAACGGCCGTGTTGAGGAATTTTGCTGCCACGTTTTGTGAAACCTTCGGGTGGAAGTCAAAATGTGGATGCGCTGCTGCACGGCGGGAGGCAGAAAATATATTTCCGAGTCCGCGTATCTCTAGATCAAAACGACCACTTTTTGAGTGGCGAATTCGAAGCAAGAATACAAGGGAGGGATTTCAAACGTGATCCGTTGGGAATGATCCAGCGACAAACATATGCAAGGGCACGTAAACAACCCGCCTCGAGGGTAGAGACATTCATATAAGCTTGATCTACTGCTGGAGAGAGAAGAGACATGGCCATTATCTTGATAAACATCCTGAGCACTGGTAGCAGCAGAAGGAGATAATTTATTATTAAGGATGATAGATATAAGGATTTCCTGCCAAGTTAGAGTTCATCCCTTTCACTCGCGTCTCCGCCGTTCCATGTCATCGGCTCAGCATCGGTTAGGAAGAAATTTAATGGTACTTCTGCATTGGTAAGCAGAGTCAAGAACCAGCGTCACGCAGTATGTACATTACCTGCTAGTACTCAGGCTATTAAGCAAGCCTGAGAGTCGCAGACAGAAATACTGGCAGTAACTCGAGAACCAGTCGTTTCTTCCTTTACATGGAGGACGGATTCACGGTCATCACATACGTGCACAGAAAGATGAAAGTACAGCCTGAGTGACGCGAGCCACAATAATGATTCCTGAGTACTGAATGGCAGTACCAATGCAAGATTAGAGGTCACGTTCTTCAAGTTGCAAAATGAAACTCTCGGTTCCACCGATAACGTCAGCGAGTCAACGGTGAATCAAGTTAGTACTACTTAATTGCCGCCTCGCCATCATGCATAGCCTTGTTGACTCTTTCAAACTTTCCGGAGAGTCCCCGCATATGGCTCCCGCACAACTAGATGTATGTCATTCTCCTAGCAGAACATTGAGGAAGCACTGGCATGAAAGCGGCTGGTCCAGGTCACTACTCGCATTTCGAGTGCTGATGTACAGCCTGGTAATCATTTCACTAGCGCTCTATACGTTCTGCGACTCCGCTTTCTTTCCAATCTGTCATCTTCCTCGTGGTTGGCTTGCAGGTCCTTGTAACGGGCTTGCCGGGTCCCTACCCCCGGACGTTAATTCTACCACGTGCCCCCAGTGGACGGCTTTACATCCAACTAAGCACCGTGCACTCAGCGAAGACTTGGATGCGACATACAGTTCAGAAGACTTCAAGCAAAGAGCCATTCAGGCCCTTGGAGACGCAGTCCGTGTACCGTAAGTCCCAATGTTGTATCTCACTGTGGAAACATGGACGCGCTTCTAGGACTGAATCGTATGACGATAATGGACCGGTCGGTGAAGACAGCCGATGGGACACATTTGCAGAACTTCATCGAGTTCTTGAGGGCCTGTTTCCTCGCGTGTACGTCGGAATCTTCAAGTCTGAGTTGTCATTTTATAGCTCATCTTTGATTTCTAGTTACGAGTCCCTAAATGTCACCAAAGTCAACACATATGGTCTGGTTTTTCACTGGCAAGGATCAACTCCGGCAAAGCCTTACATCTTGGCTGCTCATCAAGGTCGTTCTCGTTCTCACATCCTACTGAATCTTGGTTGACGTTGTTTCAGATGTTGTACCAGTTGAAGGTCAAACACTTGAAGAGTGGAAACACGATCCGTATTCAGGGTACTATGACGGTAGGCAAAATTATAACCCCGCGAGGTGCTACTTACATCTATATTAATATTATTATGATTATCACAGGCACGTGGATATGGGGTCGTGGTACTTGCGATGACAAAGGCGATTTGATACGACAATTGCTAGCCATCGATTCTTTGTTAAAGCAAGGTTTCTCTCCTGCACGTACCCTTGTACTTTCGTATGGATTCGACGAAGAGTCAAAAGGCATAGAGGTCAGAAAAATCTCTACATACGAGCTCCATTATTGATAGGTCGCTTCAGGGTGCTGGTCATCTTGCTCGATACTTGGAAGAAACGTACGGGCGTGATTCTTTTGCCTTGCTTCTTGACGAAGGAGGTACGTGGACTAGGTATTACAAGTGACTCAACTCAACTCTGCCTTAGCTCTTTATACGGACATGGGTGGCATTGTTTTTGCGACTCCCTCGACATCTGAGAAGGGATATCTTGATGTAAAGATCACTCTTTCAACTCTGGGAGGTCATTCGAGCGTACCACCTTCTCATACAGTGCGTGTTGATGCTACGCTTTCTTACTGATAATTAATCAGCAAAACCCTACAGAGCATCGGTCTCCTCTCCCGTTTCATAGCAGCAGTAGAGGATAACCCGCACCAAGCCACCCTTTCCCGAACAGGAACCCCGTTTGCCACAACGCAGTGCCTTGCGGCCTACGATCCAGCGTATCCCGAAGATTTGCGAAAGCTCGCAAGAAAATCAGTTGTAGATGATGCAGCCCTGAAGGCGCTTCAAGAGCGACTTCTGGCCTCGGACCCTCTGTACAAAGCAATGCTCGCGACCACACAAGCCGTGGACCTTGTTGAAGGTGGCGTGAAAGTTAACGCTCTCCCAGAGCGCGCTAGCGCAGTGGTCAATCACCGTATCGCAGAGCATAGGTATTGCTTCTTTGGTAGGATTTCTAAGACTTTGTTCACTTATTACTTTTAGTTCTGTTGCTGAGCTGCAGCAGCACATGATCGACCTTTTGACCCCGTTGGCGATCAAGTATGACCTTACACTCGTTGCGTTTGGCAGTAACGTGACTTGTGGTGGTGCTGGTCAAGTCGTTCTGTCCGACTTTCTCGGAACAGCTTTAGAACCTTCGCCCGTGACGCCTATCGAGTATGGACCTTGGGCACTCTTGCAAGGAAGCATTAAAGCTGCTTTTGAGAGCTCCCCTACCCGCAACAGCAGCAAGGTCGTGGTTATACCTTCTCTATCACTCGGTACGTTGGTTGACTGGTTTGCCCTGCACAATTCTAACGAATGATATCAACCAGGCAACACTGGTAAGCAAGTGTGATCTACTCATAACAAATTATCCCTTCACGTAGCCTCAGACACACGATTCTACTGGAATTTGACCAAGCATATCTTCCGCTTCTCGCCGTCTTTTGACACTGATCGTTTCAATGGAGAACACACCGTCAATGAAGGCAAGCGTTATATACTGTTGCGTTGCTTTCCTTGCTCATGCAGTTTCTAAACCAGCTTTCCGTGCAGACAGCTTGAATGAAGGCGTTCGTTTCTATACCAAGTTTATCTTGAATGTGGATGAAAGTGATTTACCGTGATTCAATATTGTTTTTGTTTCGCTCTTGCTCAGTCTTTGCATCTTATGCCCATAACTATTTTGCTGTGAACAAATGTTTTTTACACTACTTTTGGATACCCAATACGCATTTGTTGGAAATGCTGCACAACTACAGGCTTATAGATACACACAAGTATATGATATACAACTACAGCACTTCACATTGTCAGGTGTTATTATTCTGCCTCGGTCTCTGTCTCCGTGCCACTGGTCCTGCTATTGACCTCAGACCCCTCTTGTCCCATCGAAACAACACAACCTCGCCCATCTGTTGCAGCTGTTCCAGTCTCAGATGTCTGGCGTCGAGTTTTGATGGCAGAATTTGGGCGGTGTCGCTCACGGGCTTCCACTTGAGCCTGAGCGTGAGATGGACCACGTACTGTCCTGCTCCATACCACTCTGCCTCTGCCATCAGTGACGAATGGGGGATCTGCATCATGTTCACATTGCGGCCGGCCAACCGGTGCCGTCTGCTCCCCCATACTGCCTGCTTCAATTACCCCCGACGACACACTGGCTAACGACTCGTTGCTCTCTGGTGGGTCAGGGACAGTACACATGGATGGTAAACCGATGTCGTTATAATGATCATTGCTGATGTTGAGAGGGTGTAACAAAACATTCTCGTCTGCTTCATCCTCTTCGTCCTCGTCGGAGATATCGATAACCATAGTCTCTCGGCTGCGGGAGTTCAGTACGGTACTGAACCTCGACGTATTTGATTGCTGAACGGTAGATACCACAGAGGTTGGGGAGACAGATGAGGGACGAGGGGACGGTGTGCGGGGCATCGCCCAGGGAAGGAAGCTGTGATGAAGTGGTCCAGAAACCTCCACAGAAGATGGCGGCCTCAAAGGCACCGGAGGTGTCGTTGAGGGTCCCATTACTGGAGATGCACTCCTAGCCCTAGGTGGTATTGAAGCAGTGGGTACTACTGTTGCGGGACTCTCAACAGGCAGATGCAAACTTTCCTCGACAGCAAGGGATACGTGGGCAACAGGAGCCACAAGATGCGTAACTTCTAGTGACCTTTCTGTAGCTATACTCTCCGCCTATGGTAGAGTCAGAGCTACTAAACATACACATGTCATGTATCAAAGTGATCTTAAAAAGGCTCACCAGTAATTCGAAGGGCTGATGATCTTCGTCATCGTCACCCATGAGAGTATCTGTGACTACACCAGACTCCCCATCCATGCCATTCAGTAACGCTGGGAGATGTTGTCGGACGAAGCTGAGGGTGACATGAAGATTATTCGTTGGGTCTCCGAGGATGCTCTGTAGAAGCCTAAGGCGATCTGCGAGATCAGCATCTGAAGCAGACCCAACAAATGTACGTCCACGCTGTCGTTGTTGTCTCCTGAATACCTAAGAGGGCATAAACATAATAAAGGCACGAGATGCAGATAACGCTGTACCTTCATGAAGTGATTTGCTCCATATTGAAAATCGTGTGGTGTACCGTCAGGGTTGAGATGCTGGTAGAAGCAATCTAGACCGAATGGGCAACAGGGCTTGCCAGAGGCTGATGTTTCGACAAAGTATCTACACGATTGCGATCAGGCCGGCGAGAAGAATATATGAAGATCGCACTGACTTGCATGGAACGCGAGCCATGCTATTCTTGTAACTGTCTATAATTTCCTGCTTGCGTGGGTGATCCTGAGGGAAGAAATGCGTGGATGGTGTAATGAAACGCGATGGACTGCGGCAATAAGGACAGCGTTTTATTACTCCTGACATCACCATGTCCGATGACTTTCCTTGTGGCTCTCGCCACTGGCGAATACACTGCCTGACGGTGTAAGTTTCTGCATCGAAAGAGCAATAATGATAGATCGACCTGAAGACAAAATACATGGCCACAGCCAGCTGGGGGACAGCGTCAGAAGACATTCGAAAAGCCAATATGATGACTCGCTTAGAAGACCGTATGTCTGAGGCTTATCCATGCATATGTTACACATATTGTCATCAAGGTGCTTTAACTCCTCATCGAGGGGGTCCTTCGCAAGTTCATGGCGGAACCAACACCGATTACCCCGAGTGCAGTGTCCTGAAATTCAGTCAGCCATGCACATTATCATCAAGCTGCACCTCGCTTGCCTTGAATATAGTATCTGCACACCTTGGATTTGTCGTACGGGGTAAGCTTTTCCTCAGTACCATGGAGGAACTTGCAATCGTCACCAGCGTAGCAGCCCCTTGGGGTTGTGTAGTACCGACAGATTCCCCGTGGCTTGGATGTCACCGGGCGATCCATGTGAACATCTGATGTTGGTACTTCAAGACTAGAGACGACGAGTATTAGAATACTCCACTGCCAGCAAATGATCAGTTGCAGACAGACAGAGTCGTGGACGATTAATATTGGTGGGGCGATGACTGCAAGGTCCTATTTCCCACGATCTTGTTTGAGTCCAAGCCTTTAGATATTAATTATTATATTCGTCATCGTGCTTATACTTGAATCAAATTACGACTCGATGTTCAAGTGTCTGGTGGATCCCGCGTAGCGGTGTCAATCTAGCAACTTCGAGTCAGCCTCAGTTGCCAGCCGGGAACCGTTTGTCTGAATATAATTTTGATGGTCATCGGATCTATACTTGGCTTATGGCATGTATCAGTTTGAGGCCCAGGATCAAAGCACAGATCAGCTTCGTTGAGCCATTAAATATTTGTCTGCTCGAGTTAGTCATACACTGGTCCATGAGTGAAACTAGAATTACATAGCAATTGTTCGCGGATACAAGTAATGCGGTCCGGAAAGCAGGTGGTAAAAATGAATGAGTTTCATCGGTACTTTGCGCACTGAGCACGAACGTCTACGACGCCAAAGGAATCCTAAATCCACCAGTTCTCCCCATCATGTCGTCAGGATCGTATTTTGCGCGGATTGCCATAAGCTTTGGCAGATGTTCCTTGTAGATGTCCTGGACTGGCGTGTCGGCGAGCGAAGTGTTGCAATACTTTGGTAGATTGTCATTAGTGCACCCCTCTGCCTCTGCCACCTTTTGAATAGACCGCAGGATCTGCTTCATAAGCCCGATCCAGAACATATCGTTGTTCTCTCCTTCCCATTGGAAGCAAGCGAGTAACGGTCCATTCGGCTGACCTTTCTTGTGTGGCCAGGCAGCGGAAGTGCTTGTGTCAAACATGGACGGTAGGAATGGCCAAATATCAATGACGGCTGACTTTCCCTGATGTTCTTTCAGCTTGCTAGCAGCAAGCTGAGAATAAGAGCGATGAGAAAGATATTTTACACATTTGGATGCTAAGGATGATCATACCTTCGATTGGTCCTCGATCTCATCCAATAGTCTTCGGGTGAAGTGCGAAACCATCACAGTCCCCCAACGCGCCCTTGAAAATTGAGTGAGCCAAACGTTGAGGAAATTGTTTCATAACATACCTAACATTCTCTTCTCCGACACCAGATTTAGGGGGATTCTTCGCGTACGTCTGCAAAGAGAGTCGTGTCCCATCAACTGGGCGGTGCAACGGCGGTGCAGAGATACGAGACGGATCATGAATGTGAGAAAAAAGCTGGTCCATGAATGCAAAGTTTTCAGCAAGCTTTTTGTCCGGTTCATCATGGTCCTCGTGATAAATCCATTTCTCGTCAGAGAGTTCGAGGAGCTCCTCAAAAGGATTGTTAGAAGGAAGTGGGCCGTCATAGAAAAGATCAATAGTGATCTTGTCCTGTGTCGACAGTTGATGACAGTGCACGGAAAACTTCAGGGGTTGGACATACCTCCCGCTCTCCGCGGATGCAGAAATGTCTGTATGCACCAACAATCGCTGCCTTCTTGTCTTTGCACTTATCAATGAAGTTCATAATTGCTTCCTTCACCTTTTCAGCCTTATCTATTGGGAAAGTCAACATGTTCCGCTGATTTTTTCATGAGATCAGCATCAAAGACACAGCAAAAATATGTATAGACTGACATAGATAGGCCCAAGAGGATAGGTTTTGACAGTAAATGAAGTAACAATCCCGAAGTTGTTACCACCCCCCTATTTCCACTGTAAAGACTAGGATGATACCTGTGCATTTGATAAACTCACTCTTATAGCAAAGAAAAGGTCGCTATTGCGTTCGGCGGATGCCTTCGCTGATTCTCCGTTGCATAAGACGACTTGGACCTCAACTAGATTGTCTATTCCAAGACCGTGCTGGTTGGTCAAGAGAGAGTAGCCACCGCCCAACAGCCAACCAGCCACTCCAACACCGGCAGCGGTAGCCCCGCCGACGATGTTTCGCTTATACTGGGCTATTTCCTTGTAGACCTCATCGAAGAGGCATCCCGCTCCAATGCGTAGATTCTGGGTTTTACTGTTATATTCGAGTTCATTGAAGTTGGCCATGGAGATCTGGATGCCTGTAGTGGAGCTGAATCCAGGATTGGTAGAATGTCCACCCCCTTTGACCTAGATAAAGTCATGAAATGGTGAAAAAGACTAATAATAAAACACGCACCGCAAATTTCACTTTATCGTATGCCTTGAAGACTTTCATCTAAAAACCGTGACGTTCAATTCGTCAATATCTACTCAGAAATCGGGCACCGACAATCTTTTTCAAGTCATCAATGTTACCAGCTTGAACCGCGCATCGAGCTACTTCAGAGCTGCTCTCGAATTGGTGAGAGACACTGAGTTTATAACCGGCACCGCCTTTGACATAATACTTCAATGCTGTGGTGTAATGGCCGGATGAACGCTTTACCAAATCGCAAAAACTGCGAAACATGCTTCGAGTTTTTGCAAATCTTCTGCATTTCCTTGGTGGCTTCGACGTATTCTTCATCGGTCCAAAAATCTGCGTCGTAACTAGCATCTGGGTCCCTGTCGCTGTGGTTGTCCGACTGATCTGGCTCGTCGTTGTAGTCGATCGAGGCATGGATTCTTCGGGCTATGGAGTGTTTGCCGGTACTTCCCTAAACTTGTCATCGGCGAGATAGACTGATAACACAATAATAATGCGCACCATACTGCCAGTATAGGTTGCACCATCTTTGGTACCCTACGATAAATTGATTGATTTGAGTTAGATATCAACAGCTGCTGCACTGAGAGACGCACAGGATTACCTGAATTGGCGCTGCATACATGGACATCATCGTTGACCTGCCATAGAGTTAATCGAGTTGGAAAATCGAATCAAAGTTCTTGTGACCATAGACGTACTGAATCAACTGGATCGTTGGATCGTGCACCATTGACAAGATGCTGCAATCACGGCAATGTTAGTGTCGCCAGCGGTGAACTAACTCGAGAATAAGGGAAACCTACAGGGGTCATGATATGGCTTGAAGGAGACAAGTAGTCTTAAAGATTTGAAAATTGGAGGAGGATCCCTCAACAAGCAGATGTTTTATATGGACAGGAACCCTCAATTGGGTTTTATAAGGTCCACATCATAGCAATGCTTTGATTGGGGTGACTAAGATACTCGGCGCACTTTGTTCTCCTCGTGCTGGCGTTTCGTGCCCATGCTGCGGAAACAGGCACGAGTTCCGTTAAGTAACAAACTCTTCCAATTGTTTGTGCACCCGGACCTGGGATAGTAGCGAACGAGAAGCGCTGAGGAGAACCTATCTATCACGATGCCATCAGCAAACCGACGAGTCCTTTAGGGTGCGTTGCGTTAATCGCGGGACCTTCAAGTTTGCGCCGTAATGAACAGACTCAGGTGTTCCGTACACCCTGGATTTGTATATTTAGGATTGAGATGCCGGGTCTTGAATATTGCTGCGACATCAGAGCGCAGTCTAAAGACGGATACCGTCTAAGGAAACAGGATGGCCATCTGAGCGTCATAAAATTTGCAAGCCATAGATATCACTATTGCGGTGTTTTGTAAGCCCAATGCTTATTCTCCACACAAGAAGCATTTCGGCTTACTACAAGTGGCAAAGTGACTCACTAGTTCCGCCCATGTATTAACCGAACTGCATTCTGCATTAGCCCCATGATGTACTCCAAGAGTACAAGCGCCATATAGTACTTTCAAAACAAAAGTCGAGTTCGTTGTTGTAACGCCAGGCCGTGACAGTCAGAGAAGCTCAAATTCGACTTCCGACAATATCACTCACTGGGTGCACTTTGTATGCCGTCAAACTTCGAGCCACTTGAGGAGCTCTGTACATGCGATCCATCAGAAACCTGTTCGGCGTGCTTCACATGGTGCTTGCCATAGCAGCATGTCAATTTGTTGCATAAACACTTCACCTTCCGCACTGCAAAGCTTCACTTCCACCGTGACACGGACCGCACCGTCTGAACCTCGAATCCTGACACGTTCAGAACGCGTCCTCTAATCACTGAATCTACCTGCGACAATCCGTGCCCGCCCTTCCATCTTTTTGACTCGTGTTTTGCCTCCTCTCGTCGTATTCTCGTCTGCGCCTGGGGTCAGTGATTGATGTGTCTTTGTCACCTCGGCTCCTCCATATGTACACCCGAAAATAAGGAGTCGTATGTGCCAGTAGATGCCCTGAGGTTGTTAGGCTTCTGAAGTACATCGGCTCCCCTGGCCGAGGCTCCCGAAGACAAGGTTACCTCGCTTACAGCAGAGAACCACCGTTCGGTTGAAGCTGATGCTGCGGCTATAGGGTCAGCAACTCGCCATCTCTATTCAACCTTCGGCCTGCGTCACGCCCATGCGCTAGGCCAGCTACAATCTTCATTAAGCCTGGTGCCTTCGACGAAACCTCACGCTGATTCTCGTGCCAGGGTCTAAGTATGAGCTCCCAAGACCGGACACTTCCTGCTTTCACTTAGTCGCACCAGGAAAATGTCGTTGTGCTTATTTAGCCTTATTCTAGAATTTGATCACTGTCTAACTAAGGAAGACAACACACAAGATAAAGACTTAAGAAGAATTCATTCCCAAGCAAAAAAAAAATGAAAGACATGTCTGTGTCCTTTTAAGCCCAACTCCAACGAAGAACAGTATGTTAAGGTCGTCGTTGCTGTTCACGAGTGCGAAGATAATAATGACTAACAGGGATGGTACGGATGCAGGTTTGTGTTTTGGAATATAATATTCAGCGATAATGTTATACGAGCAGTACAATGATCTGGGAGAAATATGCTGTTGAGGCCGGAGACATTGATGCTGAATAGCTCGGTGACAGTGTGTCCTGCATTATCGGCAGGATAAGTTTGGAGGAGACAGTGCAGGCTTTGGCGGAGAACAATGGTGGCCACAGTACACACGAGGGCGTGGGCACCAAAAGCGCACCTTCAATCACCAGGGAAGGACGAGGACCACGCCGCCGATAGCACTGATGAAACTTGACTTGGAGCTAGATGAGTAAGGATGGCGAGTCACGCTATTTTGGACAAGCAAAGAGACGCCTTTCATCTTCGTTGGCCAAGGTGCGTGGGAGCAAATTTGCAGCTGACCAATAACGAAGGCCCGGCATTCATTAGGTTTTCAAACTCAGCGAGACATTGACAGTACTCAAGTCTGCTCTGATGACTAACCATTAGTTACTCATGTCACTATCCTCGACATCGACAATCAAGAACCAGCTCAATGCTGCTCTGGGGCAGAAGGCCCCAGCCTATTTTGAAACACTTAGCCAGTTTGTTTCTGGCAAGGTATCCAGGATAGAATTTGATGAATCCGTTCGCCAGGCGCTGGATGCTCCGAATTTAGGTAAGTGCAATCACTCCTGCGTGTTTCGCAAGATACTGACATCACTCTAGTCCAGCTACACAATTCCCTTATCATTTCGTTATTTGACTTTACCGTGCACCGTCGATTACCCACACCCCCTCCTGATGTATCGAAGCCCCCACCACGTAAACGTCGCCGAACTTTGCCTTACCAAGGTCCGGATGACAATGATGATACTTTGCGGTCGTCGAGACTTAAGCGATGGACCGTATCTTTGGGGAAGCGCGAACGCGACCGCATACGAGGACTGCAGTCTGTTCTCACCGAACGCTCGAGACCTCGGAAAGAAACTGATGAAATAGCGTGTGATAGAGGGGTGTTGTTGTTACCCGAGCGTGGAGGTGCGCATAATGGTCTATTACATCTCTATGACCGCTGAAATCCTAGTTGGTCAAAGATCCTCCTGGCAGTCGCTCGCCGTTGCATCTTGCATCGGTCTCAAGAGCTCCGACGTTACAACATATCTCGGATAGAGTTAATCTGATAGCAGCACAACACAATCTCGGCGCACCATCACGAGCCGTAGCGTCGCTATTGATGCTTGCATTTGAGGTCCGTCATCCTTGAAAATATTGATATGTGATTCTCACATTTTACGCAGGCCAAACTGAAGCAACTCATTACCCATGCACTTTCTCTTACCTCGACGTCGCACGCAATCGCCTCTATCACACCATCCACACGCCACTCACATAGTCGTGTTCTCACTGCATCGTCTTTCGATACCCTATTCACACTTTCACCTGCTGTGCTGCCGAACAAATCAGCTGCGGCCATGCGCCTAGCTATTGGCGACAACGACATTATGGATGATGAAGACGTTATCTTACTAAAGGATCGAGAGGTCCGAGATCAGCGATGGCAGATACTCGCTTTGCTTGGCGAGCGAAGTACAGTCAATGAAGCCCTTAGGAATCTCAGATGACAGCCGCCTTGCTCTGTCATTTTAACTGCTGCCGTTACTTACTACCTGGTGACTTCACTAGCACAGGACGTGCATCAAAGACTCGAAGGCCGAACTGCTTTTACGAATTACGGCACACAATTTACCTCCGAATAGTGGTCTTGACGCGGGCAGTCAAACGTTTGCTGTCGAATACTCAGTCTATGATATCCTGATGACTTACATACAGTCGATCACCCACAAATACGAGTTTTGTTCTCAGTCTGAAACCTGAGCACCACACATTTCCTTTCAGCATCCACTGACATCAACTTCTATGTGATATGAACGGTTCGAGCAGCTTCAGTTATTCCTATGGCTCATCTAAAAATAAAATCGTTGGTTGAACATGTGTTGTCTACGAAACATCCAGGTCACCATTTGTCATGGGAGTCAGCCAAGTTTGCTTGGAATTTTTTAGATGCTCAGCCGAAATCAAGGCAGAGGATGCGCTCCAAGTACTTAGTACGTTTAGAAGCTTGACAAAAAATATGGCCAACGTGGGGATCGAACCCAAGACCTTCGCGTACCAGAAGTTGGTATTAGCACGACGCTCTAACCAACTGAGCTAGTCGGCCATGTCGTAACGTTTTAAATATGTCATGAAACCATGCATACCTCATGTCTTAGACTTAGAGAGGGCCTTGAAGTTGCCTTCATACATGTATTAGCTGAGAGTCGCTGACGAGTGATCGCATGTATGCGGCTGTGTCCAAGTCCAACACCAGTTTCAGAGGCAGCACATATGATTAACCTTATAAGATTGTTACATATGAGATCGCAGTAGATAACGCATATGTGCAGTACGTAAACTGCCTATGGGGACATCTCCAAGTCCTCCTCAAGTTTCCTTCTCTTCCTACTCCTTTCACAATCAATGTTCTCCAGCTTCTCTTCCCAGCATGCGATGGACAGTTGTCTTTTGAGCTCTCTTCTTTGCTCCTCGACACCTTTGTCTCCCAGCTTCCCCCACAACTCTCTTCCCCATTCATCCAGGTCCTTATACTTCGCGGCGTCATGGGCCTCTCGCCCAACCGCCTCGAGAGCTATATTCCGCAGGCCTCGGAGGGTGAGGCACTCCATATAGGACCTCTCGGACGGACGGAAGGGTTTCGTGATGCGTGGAGAAACGGAGTTCGTAGTACTAGATTATCTGTGAATGTGAACTGCAACTACAAAATGTGGACAAAACGTACCTTACTCTGCGGCGCCTTGGTGAACCCCGCCCCATATAACTCCACTAGAATCGGGTTCCGAACGAACACAGACGGCCTTGGCAGTGTTTGTGACATAGTGTACGTGTAGCACAATTCATCAATAGATGGCTGGGTGTTCAGTGTTCATTATGATTCAAAGCCCTGGCACAAATAGATCACCTTGGGTCCATCAACCGCATCTGCGCGTATCCAGAAATTGAATTCCTCAAGTTGCTCGCGGGATAAACCATATGAGGCAGTGAAGTATGTAACAAAGTGAGGCTTGCGACCAGGCTAAGAGAGGTATATTAAACCGCACGACAATGATGATTTTTGCACTTACATCGATGTTCATTTGCGACGAGTTGCTTAGGACGGCAATGTAGAAAGTAGTTAAAGTTGATGGCGGCACTAAGCAGCCGCGGTTCATCATCACGAGCTCAAAGTCCCGTAGATAAACACACCTCTCAACTCTCTGGCTCTGTCTTTCTCCCAAGCAGCAGCGATTACGACAAGGTCTATAGTATCACCATACCCAGGGACATAATCCTTTTTCAGCTGTGTGCATGTGTTTCAGAAATCCTCAAGGGGTTATATATAGGTCGATGAATTGTTGGCGTACCTTGACCCAAGGGAGATTCCAATCTCCATAGGTGCTATCTGAAGCCTTGAGTACCAGCCCTTCTTCGCATTCCGCGATACACTTGGCCCATGTTTCCCTCAGTCTCTTTTGCCCTTCAGCCTCTTGCACTCGTCTGCCTATGATAACTGTCCGCTCAGCCAACATAGAACGCCCTGGAATTGGAGTGATGATACTCTCGAGTAATGACCGGCGCATATAATATGGTGCGTTCAACATGGAGGCTGCGCCCACCTGTAAGACATCAAAGAAAACGAGTGCGAGGTGCAAGGCGGACGCTGTTGATGAATTCGAATGGAGTGAAGGACAAGAGTCTCTGTGGCTGCGGTGAATTGAGGGTCACGAGCACGAAAGAAATACATGCTGTGTGCGCGAATCATACTGGGCCTCACCCCTTCGATATCCGCCCGCCCGGGCACCCTCAGCGGTGCGCGATATTAAGCCACGTATGTGCCAAAACTCTGGAATAAATTCAGGTTGTGTAGATGCCACAGTCATGTGGAAATAGAATTACCTTCTATTTTGTGCCGCTCATCAGAATAAGCGATCATCTCCGCGTCAAGTATGATGTCTCCCATACTATAGCCAGCAAGGGCCTCTTTTATTATACTTTCCAAGACGTGCTCAGAGCATGAATTCGGAGCATTACGAGATGAAGCAAAAACATACGAGTGTACTGCAATGCGGTCCAGCGTAGAGTCCCTCTTGCTCTTACTGAAAATTGTGATTTGCGGATCACTTTGGCCACGAAATCGTACATGAATCTGTGCACGTTCGCCATCATACTTAGTTTCCGCCCAAATAGCGTCACTTGGCCTGAGAACATTGAGTGCATGCTTTGGGCTTCGGCCCTTTGCAGATTTCGGTATCTTTAGACGATTTGAGTTAGCTGGCAAGTTACCACATACTTCAAAAGAGCGTACCTCAACGGGTACACCCCAGCGCGGCCTCGGGTGTGAGATCGCACCTCCAGCCTCAAAGCACAAGGCTGCTTCGGTTATATTGGCACGCGTTCTGTACATCTTTAACATGGAGCCACTTGGATCCCAAGTCTTCATGAACTGCTCCTTTGTCAACACCGACTTGCTATTAGTGTTGTATTCAAGAAGAGCGCGACTAGTGGATGCGACAGGGGGAGCGCATAGGATAGGTCTCAAATCTTTCAGAATGATCTGTGTGAGGTATGCAGCATCAAGGGCAGGAATAGATTCGAATAATGACCGTAAAATAGCAGATTTAGACCGAGGTGGCGACAGAGAATGAGCCGCGTGAAGAGTCTTGTCAGAAAACGCGGAGGTAGATGCCAGTTCATCCAACAATACGTTGATGTCCTGGAGACTCTTTTCCCCACTGAATGACTATCACGTTTCAGTTAACTGCAGCCTGCAGGTCAAATATTCAGTGAGATACCTCAGCATCTAATGATCGTAAAGCAAAAATTTCCTGGCCGAGGCATCCCGAGTTCTGTTGCTTACTCCACTGTTTCAAACGGGCAGTAGAGACAGGCGGAAAGGTAGAAGTATCTAGGCAGTCTGGTAGGAGTTGTGATAGCCTTGCTTCTTGCAGGTCGTACTTCCTCTGTGAGTCCTCTTCAGGAAATAGAAGACGGAGAACATGCATAGTAGTATCCCGAGGTAAGGGTGAATAATTATTCTGAAGGTTTTCGATCCATCTTGCAAGGACTCCGGTAAGAGAACGGTAAGCAGGAGCCTTTTTGTTGACCCTGGAAGATGTACAATGTACTGGAACATTGGCAATTTGGTGCAGCAAAGAAACAAGCCTGGAGTCAGGGGTTTTATGAGTTTGACCAAATGGAATAGTAACAGCTGTTAAACGCACAAGGAAAACGGAATTTGCTTTGCTTGTTCGTTATCCATCCTGCCCAAAAACATGTTTAGTCAGATCATAATCGTGCTCAGAAAATCTTGGTGTACATCACACGGGAGATTTGCAATTGACGATTAATGAGAAAGTAGAATGACAAGTCAAACACGTCGCGTAAATGCGACCAATATGCTGACACAATACAAATAATCGCAAACAGCCAAGAATGATACACTGGACATTTCAGATCACGAGCTATTTCGAAGCAGGGTATCTACGAAAAAATCAACGAGCTGGCGGACCAAACAACATATGAGACGGGTATAGATGAAAACAGATGACCACGATCGAGATAGGTAAATAGAGTACAAGCCGTGATCTCGAACGCAGGATAAAGTAACAAGGGTACGAATGTCATCAACTCTGTCTGGCCGTGTGCATTGGGGAATGTATAGGTGATGATGGTGCGTCAACTGGTAATCGGGCCGACGCGGGAAGGCCTATCATACGACTGTGTCTGTTGCCTTTCTTGCCAACTGCAATGTTCAGACCACGACTGGCGGCAAGATTAGATGCTCGTGACCGCTGCTCCAACGAAGATCCTTCAAATCGAAGGAGCGAGAGATGATCGGCACTTTGTTGTGAGTCTTGTGGATGGTGGTGACTTGAAGATAGGTGAGCACTCGACTGAGTCAAGTTCGACTCGACGGTTGCATCCTCGGTGGTATCGTTTCCACTTTCGGAATGAAGGGAAATGCTGTCACCATCTTCAGAGGGTGTTTCGTCGGAAGGAGCTAAACATAATTGTAAGGAGTGGAAGATGAACCAGAACAAATACACACCATTCAAGCTTCTTCCAGACAAGCCCAGCAGCTGATCAGCAGCAGCATCCGAATACTGTCGACTGTTCCTACGACTCAGCTCCTCGACGTTGTCCCCATCACCCTGCCCAGAGTCAACATTGAACACGCGGTTGAACTCGCCTAGCATCAGACTAAACACGCCCGCAGGAATCCCAAGAGTAGGGCTGAAGACAATGCCGACGTTGCGCATTGTCATTTTGTTCGCCGACGAGTTTTGAACGATGAGTATAAGATGGGCTGTGAGAGCGCGCAACAGGCTATAGTTGGCGATTGGCAACGAGGCGATGAGGTCAGATAGTTCTCGAATACGCTCCTGTGCATCGACGAAGTCTGCTACAGATGTCAGCACAGGCAGGCTAACAAACTATAAGCACACCCACCGATCACTGCCAGGAACTTCAGATGCAACTCGCGTGTCAGTATACTGGCGGGCAACTCCCGCAAAAAACTCTTCAAGAGTCCAGCGATGGCGTGAGGATCCCAATATTCATCTGATGCAAGGAGATCTACATCCCCCTCTGCGAATGAGAGGTCACCCATTTATTCAGAACTCAGTGATGTGTAACCTACCAGCATTGAAGCGATCTTTGAGCCCTTTGATAACAGCTGAGCTCCCGCTGAGACGGTATATGCCCTCTTCTTGGTCTGCCTTCTTTGCTTCCAGATACTGGATACATCTGAAAACTACTGCAGGCAGACGCGCGATCTCTGCAACCTCAATGGACTCTTCGAGTGGCACACCAAAGACAGCTCTGGGGATATGAATTATCGCCTTGTCCACAGGCCGTCCAAAGTTCCAGAAGGACCGTGACTTCGCCTTCTCTCGTCTGTCATTCGAAGAAGCGGAACTCTCGGAAGGAGCGTCCTTGCCGCCAAACTTGTATCCTGCTGGTATAGGCGCTCCGTTCATTGGAGCAGATATCTTTGCACGATCACCACCTTTTAGAGGTGTAGCGCTAGGTTCGGGTGATGCTGCACGATCAACAAAGCTTGCTGCGGTCGGACTAGCTATAACAGATAATCCTGGGTGAACAGACTTCCTATCCCGTCGCTGCTCCCTCGACTTGTTCTCCGGTGAAAATGGTTCCTGTTTGGAGTGAGAACCACGCTGTAGGTCCGAATAATGCCCAAGTTCAGAGTTTGCTCTTGTGTACATCAAATTTCCACTGCTTCCCTCTAGCGGCGAGGATGTGGGCAACGAGTTTGAAAGTTGTTCTGAGCTCCCAGAAGACAACCCTCGCTCCAATATCCGCCGAGCAGTCTCTTCCGCAGTGTAATGGTCTCGCTCGTGGTAAGCTGATGGGTCGAGCTCTTTGGTGGGACTAGCTGAGTCTGGGCGCGAATCCCTGGTGATCACGGGAATTGGTGCTGAGTGGAAGAGTTTCGCATTGGTACCGTCTTGAACAAGCTGGCTGATGGGGACTGCAGCACCACGCGAAATATCATCCTTCGACATTGTCCGCATGGCACGCTTTCCGTTAGGTGTGGGCACTGAACCGTCTTGGGTGGAACTCGTGCTCGACCTTGGTTGCGCAGATCCAAGTCCTTGCCCAGAAGGGACGTTGACGTTGACAGATATCGGACTCGGGGAAGCGGAAATAGATGTGGCAGGATCCTCGTTAAATGTTCCAGATACATATCGCACAAGAATGTCAACCCAACTGTCACGCTCTACATCGCTTTCTGCACAGAGGACATGACGCGAATGAGATCCATTTGGAGCTTTCTTTGCCTCGATGATAAGGAAAGCATGACGATAATTTCTTTCGTCATCATTGTCAGCTGTGCGCTGCTGTCGCCCGATCTGAGCTGAGGTAATCACGATCGAGCCAAGATGGGCGCCTCCACGCTAAGGGAACACAATAAGACGATTGCGGTTAAGGACAAACGGAGTTTGCTTACGCTTTCATAATACTCTAATACCGGACCCTGGAGGACAAAGTATCGTGACTTCCACCCACCGAAGTTCTTCCCCCGCTTCGTCAGATATCCTTCCTTGTGTCCAGCTTGCATAACGGGCTTATGAGTCTCTCGAACGATGTCAGAAGTGAAGAAGGCGATAACTTCGTCCTTATTTTTCACAGGTAGATCAACCAATGATTGAAGGTACACCTCGAGTGCGACCTGGGCATCGATGGTGTATAGATATGACTATCACTTATGAGCGTATTATACTCACCTTGCGTTGATCAGACTTCGCAGGTGCGTGGTCCCTCCAAATCTTTCCCTCTGGTAGTACTGCCATCTTCTTCCCGATACCCTTCCCAACGCTAGCTCGCATGCGATTATCGAGGGTCAGCACATCCGAGTAGAGCTTCTCCACCTTCCATGACTCTTTGCCATGTCCCGGGTGCACATCGACGACGAATGATAAAACCTCCTTCCCACGGTCATTTGGTTTTACAGACGAATGCGAGACAGCGACCCGTGTCGTCACAAGGTCATCTGGTAAGAGAGGAAGCGCACGGAACATTGCGCTGGTATCGGATGAAGTCGGATTTATCGGTGACAAGTAGGAAGTCGGTAGAGGAGATTCAGGAATAAGCACAGAAGAATTGTCGGACTGTAGCAGCTGCGGCTGCGACTGCCAGTGCGCTCGCGAAGGTGTACTCTCCGCCGCAGATGGCTGTGGGTTTAACTGTGTCGGCGTGAGCATTAATGCAGGATCCAAGGTTTGTACATGGGATGAATGAATATGAATAGCGCCATGCGAGGGAGGCATTGGGAAATCTTCTACTGCTGCATGAGGCTTAGTCTTCGTTGAGTGCTTTGCTATCGCTTCATCTTCACGTTCATCATCATCCATATCTAGGAATTCTCCCACCTCATCTCTTTGCTCCTTTGTCAGCATGATCGTGGGAGATTCTGTCCGGGGCGCGCTATTGGCAAGAGGCTCCTGTCCAGCATGATACTGAACATCATCGCTACACCCAGCCATATGCGGGCACATAGATGGACTTGGTAATGGACTCTCACCCATATTGGCAATGTAAAGCTTTGCCTCATCTGGGAGTGAAACAGAAGATATTCGGAACGCCCGTGATGGGTGCTGTGAGTTATCAACCGTTGGGCTGAGCAAACCTGTCTGAGATGCAGTGTTTGAGATATTGGTAGTAGATACGGTTGAGCCGTTGTGAGATACGGCTGGACCATAAATGGGGACGACGGTGTTTATGGATGATGCAGGAGGCTGGAGTGTAGCGGTAAGAGGATAGGCTGGTCGAAGGGAAACAGGAAGTGGCAGGTGAACAGACTGGAGAGCTGATGGTGCCGAGGGTTGTTGTGAAGGAGGTCGTGAGTCGGTTGTACGTGGCACTGGAGGCCTATCTTTGTCAATGCTTGACTGTGAAGTTAACTCACTACAGGAAGTAGCAGCAGATGCGGCAGCAAGTGATAATGAGGTACCTCGATGAGGCACAACCAAAGGAGAGTTGAATGGACGCGTAGACATTACGTTTTGAGGCGTTTGAGGGCTCTCGAGATTGGAATCACGAGCGTTAGTCTCTGGGAGGCAAGGTGGAGTAACGGGGCGGTCGTCGTTACGAGGCGGTGATGCTGGAAAGGTAGTATTCAGGAACGTGACCAGCACGAAATGAAATAATAACTCACATGTGGCATCTAATTGGTTGCGAACCATTCTTGATCGTAAGTCAGCAGACCCATTGACAGACGTACTCGACATCGTAGCATTGGATCCTGACGACCTCAAACTTCTAGCTTTGTCCTTCTCGCGATCCCTTTCCTTCTTCGCCAGTTCAGTACTCAGTCCTGATGCTTGCAAGCGAGTCTTGTAGGTATCTCGTTCGCTACGGACACGTTCAATTTCCTTGAGCACCTGGTTGTATGCGGCACGTTGCTTCTCAATAAGTTTCCAAAGCTGTGTATTTTGAGTTGAGAGGACATTGCGTTCAGATAGAACTTGTTCCAATGCAGCGAGTATTGGATTTGGTGCGCTGGCATGCGTGGCAAGGAGTGATTCGAGAGTAATGGGGTATGTGGTGGTATTGGCAGTTTGACCCAATGTAGAAGCCGCGATTGTAGCAGCGGAAGAGGATGCCTGAGGTCTCATCGACATCGGAGATGATGCTGACTGTGAAGTCGAGCTTCGTTCGCGGGAGGGCGTGGCAGTAGCAACCGGAGTAGCCATCGTAGTATTTGTAACAGGCCAAGCTTTAGTGATATTGCACAACAACAAAAACTCTGCACAACACTAGGGAGCCAAGAGAAGCCTGAGAAGATGATTTTGTGGCAAGTAAGCCTCAATCGCCGTACGAGCGTTCGATGATATGTCCTAAGAGTTAAAAGTATGATTTTGAGTTATAGCAGTCTACGGTGATGAGATTCATACATACCAGTTCAGGAATCAGGCCTGGTTGTAAAGACGACAATAATTTCGTAAGTCCGTGTTCTAGGCTGTCGTGGAGAGCGTCGAGCTCGCCGTGTTGGACGTCAAGCTCGCGGTTGTACGAAATTTGGAGGTCACGGGTGAAGGCTCAAATTTAGTGGCTATGCAGCAACCACAAAGTGACATGGACATACAATCAATATTAATGAATTATCAGATCTGTCAGACTAATTAGCACTTCGTGTCAAGTTGAGTCCAAAATTCCCAGATTCCATTCACATAAGCATCCTGCTCAAGTGATCTACAGAGTTTTTTATGAGCAATTCAGCAGACACCAGAATTTCAGTAATGTGTGCTAGATAATTGCCAGCGTGTTTTGAAAATCTGCAGGCTGAAAACTTGGACATTGCCAGTGGTCATTGATCATGATACTACGGTGCGCGCGTAAACGCTTGATCGGTGCTCCAGCTGGCATCCAACACTATCCGACTCGCTGAATCATCTATCCTGCCGTCCAATATTGTAGTGTAGCCAGAGTCAATAGACCCGGCAGGCCTTAGACTGCTAGTGGTGTTTTATTCTTTATCATAGTATGCAAATATTATGATGTATATAGGTATGTACTTCATTGATGGATCAATACTAATTCTGCGGTTGTTCTGTGAGCCAATATTTATCATCTTTACCGTATGTTCTATTGTCAGTAAGGCTCACATCAAAATTTCGAGGCACCCATTGGAGTGAGGGCAGAAATGGGCAAGCTAATGTTTTATCTACCACGTGCACCAGATCATGACCTATGAAGATTAAAATGGCAGAGATCATCTTTGTCTCCCGGGCAGTCGCATGTTGTTCGTAACCATCAAAAGTTTGACAACCGCATGCATGTATGTTTTCACACTCACCAGATTGCCCGTTGCTTAGCGTGGGCACACACTATGCCGTGGAGCCGAGGTTTGCTTTGTCCCTGACAAGCTTGCTGTGTAACATTACGGATAGGGCTATGAGACTTCTGTCCGCAAAGTCCCTAGGTTGTGTTCCCCGATCAAACCATTTCGCTAAAAGCGTGAATGTGAGCATCAGGTGAGTCATTTGAAAATACACAGCCCAGGGTTGCCACATGATCCCGCGGCTGTAAAACGGCCCGGGCTATGCAGCTTGCTTCGTCTTCATGAACCATTGGCACTGGTAGAAAACGAAATTTGGCGCATGTTCTGCATCTGAGAAGTTTAATTCATTTAGTATATGGAATCTAGGGAGCGCACTCTATGCTGCTACTGAGTCGGGGTGTGCAATGTCGCGCTTCCTACCTCATACACAATGCACCCTAGGTACCGGCTCATCAAAACTAGTAGAACCTGTCAAACGCGCCGTGCGCCAGTGTCATAGTGCCTTCGACAAAGACTCACTAAGCTGCCATCAAAAATTTTCTAGGGGAGTAGTGTTGGATGCTTGATAGACAACGACGATTCAGCTCATCGTGGTGTGGCGCCTATCGCCGCAAACACGGCGGAAGTCCACTGAGCGTGTGAGACTCTCAGTTACACGAACTGAAAGAGTTCCATGACAGCCGATTCAGCCATGCAAGCCGATAGGGAACCAAGGAGGTGTTTGAGAATGTGAGCGAGACGATGGAGTTGGTAAAGCCCGGATTAGTAACAGCACTGACGAAGAAGTTGCGGAAGATGCCCTCTGATATATGCGAGTGGCGCAGTGGTAGAAAGAGGAAGGGAGGAATGGAGTGATTGACGCTTCATTTACGGTGATAGTATTGGCATAAAGAGCTTGCTCAATACCCAGCTGCGTGCAAGGAAATGTTGGATGGAACTCGGGGAGATATAGGAGATACCAAAACATAGAGAAAAGTATATTGAGGACAGAACATGGCTCGGAGGGGAGGGAAAGAGGGAAGGGATACGAGCTTCAGACATGGCTACAGGAGCCTGGGGACTCATGGCCTGAACACGGTTTATATCAGTGTGGAGTGTGACAAATTGCGATGAATCGAGCTTCATTAAGTCAGACGTTGCTTCCCTCGTTATCGATGACGGCGTACCTTGTTCTATATGATGGACCAGAAAGTTATGGTAATTCATTGGGCCACGGACTCGGAGTCGATGATACTCCGAGTCGGCCCATCGAAAACCGCCTAAACCACTCTATTAGAATTGAAATCAAGCTGGTTCCTGCGTAAGAGACGGCCGAGTTCACGCATATTAAACGTCCCTTAGTGCCTATTCTGTTATTATATAACCCATCCTCTGAAAACGAAGGTCAGGCTCACGGCGTACCAATACACATTTGTCAATGTATTTCTGCTCGAAAGGCACATGCGATTGATAAGCACTCCGAGCGAGTCTGGAAATTCGTTGACCTACTTGAAGTAACAGAAAATGTGTTGTTTTATACGAGACCTGTAAAACTGTAGACAAGCCCGGGCTGATATTCGACTAGGTCTGAAAAGCGCTATTTTTCCCTAGGCAGGCCAAATAGAAGGAAAATGTACAGTCGAAGAAACTTTCAATTGATTTTGAATACAACACCTTCCTTTCTAGGATGTCCGTGTGTACTAGTAGCAGCGGACAATTGACTAAAAGATGAACCTTGAAACTTTCCAAGTTTGACTCAATTGTCCTTTAGTTTTTCTTTCGCTGGCAGGTTCAGCTGAGCTGGATCATAACAACATAGAACGACAGGCATACGTAGAACGTTTAGTCCTCTCAGCTCTTTCACTCTATTCATAATGATCTCTTCAACAATCTGCGGCATTGCGGCACGTCGTGCGCGACCGCACTTTCTTCGGCATGTCCCAGTGGGCAGGAACAGGAAGATATCCCACTCGATAGTCTTACAATGTCCTACAAACACTGTAACATTGAGTCACACAAGAGATGACTCTGCTCTCTTAGAAATGGAGAAAGTAAAACCAGGTCATGCTGTCATTTCCACATTCGATTTGTTCAGCATCGGTGGTGAGTTCTTGTATCATGTAGTTTTGAGTGCGTAAGCACAAGACTGAATGGATAATCGGCTTGCTCAGTGGGCCCAAGTAGCTCTCACACAGTTGGGCCCATGCGCGCTGGCAAGATTTTTCTTGCTGACCTACAGGAATTGCAAATGTTGGACAAGGTACGCATTTCCGCCCTCTACCTCGACTACGTTCGAATGAACTTGTCTTCGAAGGTCAAAACTGTGAAAATAGTTCTGTGAGTGCAAGAGCGTGATTTCTTTCTGCATCAAGCTTACAGTGGAGGTCCGCATGATAGCTATGGATCACTGGCTGCGACGGGTAAGTATTTGGATTTCCGGAGTTCTGTTCGCTAATCGACAGCACTCTTCACGTAGGCAAAGGGTGAATGTCTTATTCTAGCCTCACCGTGATGTCAATTTCTCGCTGTTTACCATTGGAATCCCATTTGTACAGACATCACACTCCGCAAGCAGTCCTCCTTGGGCTTGAAGGCTCAGACCCTGAAACTATTGACACGGGAACAATCTCTTCCCGTTACGAAGCTATACTCGCAAATAGAACTCTTCATCTTGGAGGTATTCGCCGCATTACCTTTGACATGGACCGTGATATGCTGTGGCGGTGGGATCAAGTACTCAAGACACACCCGAATGGCATGCGTTTCTCGTGCTTTGGCGAAGAAGGCGAACTCTTGGCAACTAACGAATACTACAGGTATGTATAATAACCTTAAGGTTTGATCAAGAAACTGAATAGAATATTAGCGTTGGAGGAGGATTTGTAGTAAACGAGAAGACAAAGAGTATATCTCCCAATATCGATATTGGATATGGGTCAGCGGCTAATTCATGCAACAGTAGACGAGAATTTATTCTACAAAGGTGTCGACAAGAGCATGGTGCATGGAGCAAGGTTGCATCAGACCCACAACACCATCGAAGGAGATCAGACCCCAGCTCAGCCAGCAGTGGATGATCCTGGACATCCGCCGTATCCATTTGAGTCTGGAAACAGTCTCCTAGCACTCACAAGAAAACACAACGTACGTTTTACTCCTTCGTGGAGGTGTCTGATTGTCATTGGTCAAATAGCTCACTATCGCACAAATCGTGCATGATAATGAACGTTATTTTGGTCTATCCGAGGCCGATATCAATGATAAGGTATGCGTCTGCCTTTATATGTCGGCTTCAAATATGGTTAATTGTATGTAGCTCATGCGGATATGGGCAGTCATGGACGATTGCATCCGGTCAGGGGTGAGCACTGCTGAGAAGACTCTCCCAGGTCGTTTGGGTCTCCGACGTCGTGCCCCGATGCTGTACAAACGCTTGATGCGAGGGTCGGTCATAGTTCACCGTGTACTTACCAATGAAGATGATCCTTAACCAGTGGTGAAACAGGTTCTATCCTGGAATTGCAACACCCGATTTACAACTCATCGATTCCGCATCCACCCCTTCTGTCGCAGCAATAGATGCACCAGAGTCAGACACACAATTCTCGTCTTTCGCAGATGGAAGCGACGGACGCGGTGCAAGTGCATCAAGAAACATCACGCACGCCCCATGGGTTACGGGCTCATTCGATCATGCAATTCTGCCAATGCCTCCGGTAATTGCTCGTTTCCACCAATTTGCAGGATCTTGACTTCGCTTATAGCGCAAGACAATGATACCAGCTGTCGACTTCCTTTCTTGTTACGCAATTGCTGTAAACGAGGTTAACGCTAGTGGGGGGCGCATCGTCACCTCACCAACGAACGGTGCGGCGGGTGTGATTCCTGCTGTGCTGAAATATGTCATTGAATTCATCAGCGATGACCCCGAGAAGTCGATCAAGACCTTCTTACTGACCGCAGCGGTATGTGATGCCGATCAGTTTTAAGTAACAATCGGATACTTAACGGAAATTTACAGGCAGTAGGCATGCTATTCAAGAGGGGCAGTACGATTTCAGCTGCGGAAGGAGGGTGCCAGGCGGAAGTTGGTGGTGCGCTGACTCAAATTGTGATCGAAAATTGATAGTGTTCATGTTACTATTGTCAGTTGCGTGTGCTATGGCCAGTGCTGGTTTTGCTGCCTGCATGGGTGCGTCACCCGAAACTGTCCTTCAGGTCTGTGTTTCTGTTTGAACTATGTCGGCTTCTATTGAATATTTTACAGGCTGCAGAAATTGGTATTGGTAAGCTCAACTTATTTTCGAATTTGTACCTTTTGTTTACGGTCTGCAGAACATAATCTGGGATTAACTTGTGACCCCATCGACGGACTAGTCCAGGTGCCTTGTATTGTAAGTCATTGTGAGAGCATCCTGAAGCTCATCTGCTCAACTCGCCCTACAGGAACGAAATAGCCTAGGTGGTGCGTCGGTGTTCCTCCATTTGATGATATTATTTATTGATACAGGACTACGCAACGCAGCTGTGAAGGCCGTAACTGCAGCTCAGCTTTCCATGGCTAGCACCGGTGTATACCGTGTAACCTTGGACGAGGCAATTGAGGCAATGCGCCTCACCGCGGCTGATATGAGTGTCAAATACAAGGAAACTAGTCTATCTGTACGTCACTCATTCATCTTCAACATTATTTTTTCTCGCTCAACGCAGAATTTAGGGTCTTGCTGTAAGCTCGCTTGAGTTTCCAAATGTTTCATTGACCATGATATTTTTTGTAGACAACCGTGAAAATTCCGCTGACTGTGCCTGCATGCTAAGCAATCGGCTTACTGATTGAGTCATTCTTAATTAACTACAATGACTAGATTTTGCTATTTGTTAATCATCGTTAGATATACCTGCTTTTTAGAATATGTACAGTCTGGATTTCACAAGCATCAACCTGCTCCTGGATCCAATTAATAGATCACTTGGTAATTGTTATCTGTGCCTATACCTTGAATAATACCACAGTGGTTAGAATTGTTATAGATTTTTACATAGCTCTGGACACTACTGTTACTTGATCCGGAATGCACATAATGTTATTGATGGTGTGCTAAAGTTATTGTTCAAACAGCAAATAAACTGAAGAAATAAATTGATGAGTAGGGTTATTAAATTTGAGCCTTCACCCATGACCTCCTTACAACCACGAGCTTGACATCCAACACAGCGAGCTCGACGCTGTTCATGACAGCCTAGAACACGGACTTACGAAATTATTGTCGTCTTTACAACCAGGCCTGATTCCTGAACTGGTATGTATGAATCTCATCACCGTAGACTGCCTATAACTCAAAATCATACTTTTAACTCTTAGGACATAGCATCGAACGCTCGTACGGCGATTGGGGCTTACTTGCCACAAAATCATCTTCTCAGGCTTCTCTTGGCTCCCTAGTGTTGTGCAGAGTTTTTGTTGTTGTGCAATATCACTAAAGCTTGGCCTGTTACAAATACTACGATGGCTACTCCGGTTGCTACTGCCACGCCCTCCCGCGAACGAAGCTCGACTTCACAGTCAGCATCATCTCCGATGTCGATGAGACCTCAGGCATCCTCTTCCGCTGCTACAATCGCGGCTTCTACATTGGGTCAAACTGCCAATACCACCACATACCCCATTACTCTCGAATCACTCCTTGCCACGCATGCCAGCGCACCAAATCCAATACTCGCTGCATTGGAACAAGTTCTATCTGAACGCAATGTCCTCTCAACTCAAAATACACAGCTTTGGAAACTTATTGAGAAGCAACGTGCCGCATACAACCAGGTGCTCAAGGAAATTGAACGTGTCCGTAGCGAACGAGATACCTACAAGACTCGCTTGCAAGCATCAGGACTGAGTACTGAACTGGCGAAGAAGGAAAGGGATCGCGAGAAGGACAAGGCTAGAAGTTTGAGGTCGTCAGGATCCAATGCTACGATGTCGAGTACGTCTGTCAATGGGTCTGCTGCTACTTCCTGTAGTGGGTTAACTTCACAGTCAAGCATTGACCTAGATAGGCCTCCAGTACCATGTACAACCGACTCACGACCTCCTTCACAACAACCCCTGGCACCATCAGCTCTCCAGTCTGTTCACCTGCCACTTCCTGTTTCCCTTCGACCAGCCTATCCTCTCACCGCTACACTCCAGCCTCCTGCATCATCCATCGACACTGTCGTCCCCATTTATGGTCCAGCCGTATCTCCCAACGGCTCAACCGTATCTCCTACCGATATCTCAAACAGGTTTGCTCAGCCCAACGGTTGATAACTCACAGCACCCATCACGGGCGTCTCGAATATCTTCCGTTTCACTCCCAGATGAGGCGCTTTACATTGCCAATATGGGTGAGAGTCCATTACCAAGTCCATCGATGTGCCCGCATATGGTTGTGTGTAGCGATGATGTGCAATGTCATGCTGGACAGGAGCCTCTTGCCAATGGCGCGCCCCGGACAGAATCTCGGTCTGGTCACCCAGGATTATCTGTTATAGCTAGTCCGACAGCAGCAAGCTTTGGTGATTGTGCAGCATCACCCGAACCTAGCGCGGCACCTCTAAAAGGTGGTAATCGTGCAAAGATATCTGCTCCAATGAACGGAGCGCCTATACCAGCAGGATACAAGTTTGGCGGCAAGGACGTGACCTGGAAGATGTCTGCACGCATATCACGACTCTGTATCGTTCCATCGAGCATATCACAAAAATCGATCTCTTGCATTCGCATATATGCGAGGCTCAGTTATGATATTCATCACAGTCATCACAGTATGTTAGTCGTTACAGCAGTATATATGGCAATATATAGTTTGGGCAATTTTGGTGCGTCTGAAGGATGGTTTCCTTATTGGTCACACATGTGAAAAAATCGCCAATGACATTATTAGTTTGTCAAACGGCTGTATTACAATATCTTGACCATGGATTCAGGACACTCTAGGGTCCCATCGCCATCGCAGCTACCGCCTTCGTTCTCTAAATATCACCATCCCTACTTCACGTCAGCCGAGGTTCAATACCTATCCGAGAAACAACGTGGAAAGCTCTCTGCCACACAAGAGGAGAAAGCAAGGCAGCAAGCATGTGGATTTATAGAAGCCGTGGGCTCAAAGATTGGCTTGTGCGTTCTGCCTACAGAGAAATATATACTGACGTTGACAGCAAAGGACAGTCCTAGGAAAACTTTAGCCACTGCCCAGAATCTTTATCACCGGTTTCACTTGTTCTTTCCTCGAAAGGACTTCAACTATCACGATGTCACTCTGGCGGCTCTATATGTCTCCACCAAAATGCACGACACGCTGAAAAAGCCTCGGGAGATCCTCATGGTCTCATACGCTGTTCGATTCCCAGAGCTTGCAGCCAAGTCCAAGTCTGTCGGCGGAGAAGTTGATATGGATCCTCCGGTGAGTGATGATCTGTGAATTCTGATTGCTCTTCTACTCACATAGTGTATCTAGACGGCTGAGAACGACCGCCAGAGACTCTTGGCTGTGGAGCGGCTGATTTTAGAGACAATATGTTTCAATTTTACCAGCAAAATGCCGTTCTCGTATGTGATCAAAATTGGGAGGAAGCTGAAAGGTGCGTCTACTCTACTCCACATTTTCATACTCAACATTCTGCATATTCAGCATCAAAGAAGTTGATTAAATGTGCATGGCGGCTCACGATAGACAGGTGTGTTGTATCCCTTATTATAGTTCACCTTATGTTCATATATTCGCAAAATGACAGCCACAGGACATTGGTACCAATCATGTATCCACCGAACACTGTCGCATTAGGATGTCTCTATACTGCATCCTTACTGACGACCCTTGAACCGCCGCCATCTCCCCTTGTAGAGGCACAATTGGACTCGCGGCTGGCAACCATTCTAAAGGAAAAGGGCGATTGGGAGCGGATGTACATGGCAGAAGCCGAGGACTTGGAAGGTCGGGAACTTCTCTATTTGCGTTCCTCAACTAATTGTTACCTCCCACAGAAATTGCACATGTACTCATCGACTTACTTATACAAGCCGCACAAAATCCGTCGGCCAATACGTCTCCACGTACTCCGGCATCACCTTCCCCGCACCCGTCTCCACGGAATCAACATTTGTCATCCATTGGCCCGCAACCTCCGCCAATTCCATACAAAGCGGATCAACTCATTCGTCTCAAGATTATGATGCGGCAAAATGAACACCCGCTGCGACCACAGCAACCTCTTGGGAGTACTGATCCAAGTGAGCTATACAATGGGAATGATATCGCCATGCTGGGGAGAAATCAAGGGACTGTTAGATTTTTGTTTGGACCTCCAGGAGTTGTTGGTCAAGGAGTATAGGTGGCAATGACCTGGAACCGTGAATTTCACATTATAAAATTATTTTTGAGTTAGGTGTCCTCCGTGTGAGTTAATTTTGAATCACAGCTCCAAGTTGAATTACTTTCGTCGCTTCCAACTTGGTAGAAGCCTTTATATACATAACTCTAGACACCACAGAGTCGCATCCAGAGAGGATGGATCAATCTAGGACCTCGCAAGATCCGGCGCCGTTCGCTGGCACACAGACGATGCTTATCCTTGTTGGACTGGTGGCATCAGGAAAGGTGATTGCATTTGATTCTGGTGGTCCGGAGAAATGGCCGACACAATTTCAATTGTAGTCCACGTTTGCTCAGGCACTCGAACGTCACTTTCCGCAATTTCGCAGATGTAATCAAGATGAGCTTGGGACGAGACAGCGCGTCGAGAGTTTAGCTCACCGCACGCTCCGCGAAGGCTTATCGCCCTGTATTGACAGGTGCAATTTCGATGCGATGTAAGCCTTTTTCTATCACGTTGTATGCAAATTGAAGAAGCTGATATTACGGCTGATCCACGAAAATGTCACTACCTACAGACAGCGATCACACTGGATCAATATCGCTCGCCAGTTTCCTGGTACTCCGATCAGCGTTATTGTTTTCGATACCCCCTATCAGGTTCGTTGAGATTCACGAGAAGGAACCAAAGCTAATCGTAGCTTTATCATGCACTGCATCTAGGTCTGCTCCGCTCGTCTTCAGGAAAGTACGTCAACTTGTTTGCAGATTTTTTATTGCAGAAATCGATGATATGGTATTATTACCCAACAGGAAGTTCACATCCAACCATTAAGAACCCCCAGCAAGGTCAATCTATTCTGGCTAGGTTTGCATCAGACCTTCAGTTCCCGCAACCCAACGAAGGGCATGATCACATTCTTTACTTGAAGCCTTCGGACCACCCTCATCCCGAGTACACGGGCGAAGACATTGGTTTGATATTACAACGGCTCCAAGCTTCTACATATTTCAAACGGGGAAACCTTTCAGCCCCCATTCAGAGACAAGGTCGCGGGTACGGAGCTCATCGCGGTGGCAGGGGCCACCGCTTTCCGTCCAGCAGACTTCCCAAGTCCTATTCTGGAACGAGACTAAATGACAAGACAAATACTTCGCACATAGCCTAGTGTTAAATTTTCAAGTGACCGGAGACCACGCTTTCTGATGTGACAAAAACCCGCGCGAGAATCGGCATCATGAATCTGATTTTCTTGCTGAGTCGTCCATGTTATCTGTGCCGTCCGTGTTTTCCGCGACTTTTATGGTCTTGCCTAGAATCTTTGCGCTCACCTGCAGTTGACGTAGTAAATGAGATTTGAAAATAACGATCGAGATTTGGAATACTAACGTTCCGAATATGCATTGCGGCACGCTCGACGCCGTATTCTTTGGCACGTTTATACTGCTTCAGAGCCTCTTCGAGTTGTCCAGCTTCACAACGAGCAAAAGTTAATTTTAGGAACAATAAGCCATGTCATAATTTACTCACTGGCTTCCAAAACTGCGGCGAGATTGAAGGCGATCTCAGGGTCTTCCGGTGAGAGGGAAGCCGCAATACTGGAACACAATAGTCAGTGAACCGATAAGGAAGTCCTAAGCAGTTTACGTGCTGGAGATGATGCAAAGCGAGGTCAGGACGTGCAACAGGGGATATTATGTATGCGCTTGCGAGGTCTTTCGGATACTAATGTCGTCATCCAGATTTAGACAGCACTTAAGATGAGGCACGCACTTGTGTGAGCATCGGCACTAGCGGGTTGCAGTGCTATTGACTCTTTCCAAGCTGCAATAGCGTCGTCAAACTCCTCTAAGAATAAATTACTCAGCACCCTGGAAATTTTGGATATGAGTGGGACAAACTGAGGTGATAATGCGTGACGCCCAAATTGAACAGGGAGCTGGCATTACGCTTGATTTCGACACTACGAGTGTAAAGTTCTTTGGCTCCTTGAATGTCACCCTCCTCTAGCTTCTGGGTCCCCTGTTCTAGACATTGCATGGCTTCCATCTCTGCAGGATCTGATGCCGTCGAATGCAGTGTAGTGGAAGTTGCCCATCCTTGAAAAATACATTTTAGCGCCAGATAAAAGTAGAAAATGCGGTGCTGACTTTTGAATACATTGTTCCATGATTCACCCGCACACTTGCGACGGAACGCATAGCCGGAACGCGCTGTGGCAATGACAGGTGCTTCGTGGCCTGCCGTGTGTACTAAAAGCCTTGAACGGGGAGCTCGGCTCGATTTGAAAAACGCATTTGTCCTCAAAGAGAAGCTAGCAGGCCTTGAGAGGGTGTGTGTGCTCGCGGTTGCAAAGGACATTTTTTCTAATTGTTCAGGTTTAAAGCGGTAAGTACGTTTGGAGAAGACCCAAGTAGGTGGTACTTTAGGTAATCTATTCCCACGCACCCTCGCGCCGTTTCAAAATTTCGTCGTTGCTTTCACTCGCCACCAAAGTTGCTTGTTCTTAAGCATGTCTAGTGACCCTCAAAACTCGGCCTCCGGCTCGCAGGACCCAGCATCTTTCTTGCGGTCGGCCACTTTCTCGCGTGATGGACCAGCAGTGTCCGTGGAGAATGCTGTAACGGCTAACGACTTGCTCCTGGGTGCATACGACCCGGCCAAATTACATCCTCTAGCTCAACTTGGGGATCAATTAGACTATCTTGTATTAGATGACGATAAGACGAGCGAGTTGCCAGGGGCTGGCACAGCCATTCCTTCTCGAGGTTGGAGTGATGATTTATGCTACGGAACTGGCACAATGTATCTCAGTGGTAGGTCTTCTTTCTTTCGGCTCCTTAACACGAGCTTTGCACGAGTTTGTACGTCTACGGGTCGTGCCCTCTCTCATTATATCTTCTCTCACCTTATCTTATTGCTGTCATCTCCAACTTCGGTCATTCTTATTGTTTTCGGTTGTCACATGCTCATCCATCTTTCCTTAAGGTCTGGCATTGGGTGGCTTTTGGGGTATGAGTGAAGGCGCTCGAAGACCTCTAGCCGTATCAAATACCCGCCTCCGGATCAACAGCGTTCTTAATTCTGTCACGCGAAGAGGGACTTTCATAGGTAATTCAGCTGGTGTACTTGGTGAGTTCACCTTTCCTGTTGGGGTATGTCCCTGATTCTTTATGACTCACAGCCCTCGTCTATAATGGAATCAACTCCACCGTTGACTCTTTTCGCGGAAAACATGACACAGCCGGCAGTATGGCTGCGGGTGCATTAACAGGCGCCCTCTACAAGTCGACAGGTACAAATGGTTTTCCCCAGCCTCTGTTTACGTTCTCTCATAAAAAAACTTTTCTCCATTAGCCGGAGTAAAACCCGCTCTTGCAGCAGCATCAGTGATTTCAGGAGTGGCAGGGATTTGGAGCTACGTGAAGAAGAGCGTATGATAGACCCCTGTAACATATACCTTCCTAATATTTGCTTACCTATGTGAGATTTATTCTGACATGTAAGCGTCCCAATGGGATTTACAGAACCTCGGCCGGTTGTTCAGGCCTGTTTAGATCACTACTGCGGGAGATCCAAAGAAGACGTGCCTTCAGCTTCCCAAATACTGCTCCGAACAGATTTGGAACCCTATATCGGTCGCCTTCAGATCTGTCAGTGTCAAACTTTTTGGGTACTGGGATTCAGAATTCTGATACCTTTCAGTCTTCCTCTGACCCCGAGCTCCCTGGAAATAGGTATTATATGATATGATCACCCGCAAACGAAATGGATAAATTCCAAGCTCCTATGCTCTTGTAGCATTGATTAATTCTCCTGTAGGCTCAGTGTGCGCCTTGTCTCCCAGGCAAATATCTCGTGACATATGCATACTTGCTCTATTGACACCTACTGGTCTAGGCAACACTCATGGGAAAAGGTGTCAGCCAAGAATGGTTTGAGCTCTCCCTACAAGTCGTTGAAATATCACGCTCACGATGTTAACCATGCGCCGCGCACGCGCTCTAGTGTCGAAGGAGATGATGCAGTAAGTCCTTGCTGTACTATATCCTCACGCACGCATCGGAGCCTAGCTCACTTTCCACTATCATAAATGTCTCAGCGTACACGTCAAATACGTCCGGTAACGCCTATCACACCCGTAAAGTGTATATCATCGTATGTGGTCCACTTTTTTCTAGGGCTCGGCTCGTTGAGCAACTACGCTTGATGCCCAGCAGTTACAAAAAGCTCTTCCACGAATTGCCCTGGGAAAGCCCTCAGGGTTCACCGAGGTCCGTCGCTGCAAGCGACCATTCGAACACGCAGTCGCCTCCGTCGTCCTGGATTATGCCATCTCAGTCAGAGTCATCTAGCCAGCAGGGCACTGCTTGGAGCCAGGCTTCTCCCGCTGATCGCACTAGTCCATCCATGTCTAATCAATATATTTCGAATCAATCTCGGGTCCAACACTCCTCCTTCCTAAACGATGGCCAAACGAGGCAAGTTATTTGTAGTATCTTGATCTTTTCGTGTTGATGAATTGGTAAGCTAGGTCATACCACCTTGATGTCGTGCAACATCCCCAAAGGACCGCGGAATTTGGTTCTGCTAGTCTGTCCCGTTTGCCACTAGCTCCGCCAGTAATCGTGCAGCTCACTGTACGCGATCGCTTTGGAAATTCCATCATTCCGTAAGTCTTGTCAGCACCTCACAGGGTTAGCGTACACGAATATATCTTTCCCGACAGTGAGATGGAGCTGCCATTCTTGATCGCCCACTTGTCACTGTTCACGGATGATGGGTCACGGCCGTTGGACATGGGCACCTCACCAAACGGAGAGGCACCTCCGCGGCGTTTGCTTTACGGAAACCTAGTGTCGTCACCTCAGAAATTGCGCGACCTTCAGGGACGTCTTGGATTATATTTTCTGTTCCCCGACGCGAGTATACGTTGGCGCGGCCGTTTCCAGCTCGGGATTTCTCTATTACGGATATCAGAGTACGTGGAGCAGGAACGAGGCGGGTGACCATGACTGAATTTATGACATTCATTTTTCATATTCACAGGACTAATGCTTCTGGTACTATGAGTATTGCATCTCAGGGAACTGTGCTTGCACAGGCTCGCACACGGTCATTTGATGTCTGTGCCCATGAAAATTACGTCGCACCGCGTAAGGATCTGGCTTTATTGTTAATTTTTCTTACTGATCAGTGGCGACCCTTTGCAAAACAGCCATTACACGCTTGACGCAAAGCTTCCTGAGACAGGGCGCACGAATCCATGCCTTCACGCCAAATGCTCCTTAGACCCTAGAATTTGTGTTCGGACTTTCCGACGCATGTTGGTCACCTTCGCACAACCTTCGCATTTTTTTTTCGCTTTCGCTTTCTGCTGTATATCATAGTTAGTGCACTCATTCGACCTTTCCACATTCACACCTGTTTCTGCTATTTCTTGTCACTGCATGAGGCTCTCGACCTGCTGACTGCATATATCATCTGGCTATAATTGTGAAGTTAGATTATTCAATTAGAGTTTGCGTGCGGTATTGTTCAATGTCCTGGTGAGGTAATAGCGAGTTGTACATTAAGCGAAGGGCGTCTGCATGACAATTAACCCGGAACGTTGACAGGTTGAGCGCCTCTGAGTGTCATCGTCGGTCTAATGCCACATTGCCACCAAGTGATCACAATATCTCGCCTAAAGTATAACTGCGGCCGACGATGAGAGAGATCATTCTACTAGTACGCCTGCAGGGATTCATCTCCGGTCCGTGAGCGATGGTTAGACGGCCAGTCACTGGTCATGACCGATATGACCATCACCAAGACTTTGCTTACTCTGAGTCAGGGTCATTCCCCAATAACCCATGTATGGCATAAAATTGGTAGTCCATAAGATATTTTGGCTCAAATGTGACTGCGGTCGGACCTATGACTTTGCTGCGGTGGCCATGCATGATAGTTACTGCACTGCCCGGACCAATGCCCTGCCATGCCTCGTGCAGCGTGAGAAATGCGCACGAGATAAGTTTTGTGCAAAGCGACAACGGGTTTAGTTCTACTAGCACCCTCTTCTTCTCATCGTCGACGTTAATTAACGGTTTCCTCTATTGAACAATGGCCAACAAGGATTACTACAGCGGCGGTCAGCAATACTACCCACCCCAAGGTTGGTCACATCTTTTGGTGTTTTGATGACTTGATTTCTGAAACCTGAAGGACCGTAGGCCCACCGCCAGGACAGGGGGGTTACTATCCCCAACAACCCCAACAATCGTACGGAGGCCAGCCTTATGGTCAACCTTACGGCGGACCTGGGTACCAACCTCAACCGCCACCGCAGACCGTTTACGTGTCAGTATCCTTACTTGACATTGCACGCCTAAACTGCGCGCTAACATGAGGCTGAAATTTTTCGCAGACAACAACCTGCTCAGTCCAGTGGTGCTGGTGGAGGCACTGGCTGCCTAGCTTGTCTTGCTGGTGCATGTCTTTGCTGCTGCGCTGAGGGTGCGTGTTTTCGGAAGGCTTGGCAGATCACCGGTATACTAAAATTTATCCCAACAGAGGCACTTTGCGATTGTCTATTGTAAGACTTGAGAATTGCATGGTAGGGCTACTGTCCGCTGGCACGGTGCAATATTGCCCAGTTGATGAGAAACTGTTCACGATACGCCGTATAAGCCGGCCGGATGCCTTTATGCTACAATGGACACGAACTTTTACTTTCCCTCCTTAGTCGCGAGCCTTCCTGATTCCTATTCGTTTTTGGACTACGATACCGTATTTCGTGATAGTGTCGTTTCTAAATGACTTTGTGAGGCTTGCGGCATTGTCATTTTTTTTGTAAATTTATTCGTCAAAGATATCATACCCTTTTCCAATTTTTGCATGTTTGGAGAAAGGCTGTGAAATCCAGGTGATTTTATTGGAGGATCGGGAACTACGGTACTGCCGACTAGCCTCCGGTTCGTTCCGTGACTGATATGTGTGATGCGTGACACTGTCATTGTCACCACTTCAAGCCTTTCTGCTCCTCGAAAATCTTGAGGACTTGAAACCAAAATGTTGTCGAGGCTTCCCGTGGCTGCGCTCAAGAGCCAGTCTGCAATAGGCGCATCTCGCTCTACCTTTAGCGCTTTCAGAACGCGCGCTACGTCGGTCAGTTCTTCTCAAAAACTAACCCGAAGTTTGGCTGCTCAACCTCCGACAGCAGGTCCGATTTACTTCATCCAGTTCAACGTCCTCAGCCAAACTTGAGGTTTGTTCTTTATGTGTCTTGGAATGTTTCTTGAAGAACCCACCCGTTTTCACTGCAGTCGGTGTTCACATCTCGCGCGGCACTCATCTCCGCTACCCTTTTCTCTGCTGGCTCGATAGCATGGTATTCTCATCTATACGGCTCCCTCCCCTTCATTGGTGAGGTGCACGCAAATTCGTTAGCTGACGACGGCCTCCATCCCACTGCGTATCCTTGGTCCCACAAGGGCTGGTTCGACAGCTTTGACCACTCTAGGCATGTCCGCGTTAACTACCGTAAACTATCTTCTATGACACTTGTACCCTAGCATCCGTCGCGGTTTCCAGGTTTACCGTGAAGTTTGTGCCGCGTGTCACTCGCTCGACCGGATTGCCTGGCGCAACCTTGTTGGCGTGTCTCATACTGCCGACGAAGCGCGTTTACTTGCCGAGGATGTAGAGTATACGGACGGTCCAGACGATAAAGGCGAGATGTTTCAGCGTCCCGGAAAGCTTTCCGACTACCTTCCTTCTGCATACCCGAACGAGGAGGCTGCTCGGGCCAGTAATGGTGGTGCCCTTCCTCCCGATCTAAGCTTAATCATCAAGGCTCGTCATGGTGGTGCGGTAGGTGGTTTGAATTGGTGTTACAAGGAGGAAATTTATTTATGTCACTTCGTCAACCAGGATTATGTGTTCTCCCTACTGACAGGTTACATCGATCCTCCTGCTGGTGTTGAAATCCGTGATGGAATGAATTACAACCCTTATTTCCCTGGTGGTGCCATCTCCATGGCGCGTGTCCTCTGGGACAATCTTGTTGAGTACGAAGATGGTACGTTTCTCTTTTGTAAGCTGGGCCAAGCCCTACATTGAATATCGTTATAGGTACCCCAGCCACGACCTCTCAGATGGCCAAGGATGTTGTCACCTTCTTAAACTGGGCAGCCGAGCCCGAGCACGACGAGCGGAAGAAGTTGGGTATCAAGGCTGTTATCCTCTTCTCTGCGCTGTTCGCTGTCTCCATCGGGGTGAAGCGGTTCAAGTGGACCGTGATCAAGAACAGGAAAATTTGTAAGTTCCCAACCTTATCGATGTTGTTAGCAGATGTTGATTTAGTTCGCAGTCTACAACCCGCCCAAGGATTTGAACCACTAGAGAGCTTCATGTACATAGGGCGGATCAAGTATCTCATAGACTCTTACGGCCATCAGATGCTGCAATTTATGTTGCATCTTCTAATGAGACTGCCTTTCAATCACCAGAGTTTTTATGTGTGAACTTGAGTATCTTACTGCCAGTGAGGTCTTTGCAAGCACATGCAATATATGTGAGAAAGACGCTGTACTACAGACGAGCGTGGGAAACTCGGGGTACATGCTGGTACTTCGTTTTAGGAACGTTGTCCTTCTCGCAACCTGCTCAAACTTCATTTCCTTGCGCCAATTTCTACCACACGCTACCGACGACTGCCCCCACCCCAATATCGCAGCATAAAATCACACCGAAATTATATCACTAAATCACCATGTCGTCCGAGTCATGGCCTCCACCACTGAAGTAAGCGCCCATATCTTCACTTCAAGCTAGTGATCAAGCTGAGGTCGGTGACTCAGAGAATGGGTAGCACGATGTCTAGGGCAAATGACAGATGCTAATAGAGCAGAGGCTCAGGCTGAGCTGAGAGAGTCAATTGCTAACGCTTTCGCTGAAAAGACTCTATGGACAACCGACTGGGCTGGTGTACAGTTAAAAAGGTGCGGGTCTGAGTTCATCGCAAGCTGAGTTACAGATTTCAGTGACTTGTGACATCCAGTCTGATGCCCAAAGCTCCCCCGGTGCTCAACTCCCTCAAGCGCAAAATGTCGGTGTCACACGCTTCTAAGGTTACCATGGCCCACTGATGCTCTATAGGAATGACACTCCACCGATGAGCAAGAAAGCAAAGAAACTTGCAGCGCAGAAGCGCAATGATGCTAACCTCGACTTCGGGGATCAGGCGGCCCTTAATCGCCGAGCCGAACGTTTTCAGCGGGAACATGATATAGAGCGACAGAAGAGTGTGCGCGGTCAGGCCTCTCTCCAGGCTAATAATCAGAATGCTCACCTCTTCAACCGGATATCGCGTTCTGATTCGCCGAGTGCTTTTGGTACTAATCCTGACGACCCTGAAGCGGATCCCGTCAGTCCAATTCATCTCTCACAGTCAACGTGAATGCTTATCTTATTCCTTAGAATGTGCTTGACTGGGATAAGTATACAATTGTTGGGACGAACCAGGAGTTATTTAAGGACTATCTGCGTCTTACCTCAGTACGAGATCACTCGATACAATCGTTTTACCTTTTGACTTTCGCACAGGAACCAAAACCAGAGACGATCCGCCCGTATTCAGTTCTCCAACAGACATTGATCGAACTCAAGAAACGCTGGAAGGACAAAGTGTCATATAATTGGATATGTAATCAGTTCAAAAGCCTGCGACAAGATCTCACCGTGCGTCATCCATCGCTTGTCTATTTCATGTTGACACGTGCCCCTCCTGGCAGGTGCAACGAATAAAAAATGAGTTTACAGTACAGGTTTACGAGATCCACGCACGCATGGCACTTGAAAGCGTAGGTGCTAGATCTTTTATGCGGCTTACAGCTGATCTGCTGTTGCAGTCGGACATGGTAGAATATAACCAATGCCAGGCAACACTTAAGAATTTATACGAGCTCGGCATACCAGGCAAACACGAAGAATTTACCGCGTATCGCATTCTCATGCTCCTGCATGGACGGAATAAAAGCGGTGTGCCCCTTCTTCCCTTCTTGTCAGTTCAGGATATGACTCATACTTGTATTCCCGCTTTACTGCGTAGAGCTTAATCTCTACGTAGGTACGCTAACACCACGACAGAAAAGGGATCCCGCAGTGCAGCATGCACTTCGGGTCCAGCGCGCTATCTCCATGGGCAACTACCATGCCTTGTTTGAGATGTATTTCAATGCACCAAACATGGGGGCGTATATTATGGATTATTTCATTGATCGGGAGAGGACCAGGGCGCTGATGACTATGACAAAAGCGTGAGTATTCATCATCTCCATACGGTGATAATTGTATCTTACTTGTCTCCTTCAGATACCGCACAATAACAATGAGCTTCATCCAGAATAAGCTTGGCTTTGAATCGGTGTCAGAAACACTCAAGTTCTTACAAACGCACGGTTCTGCTTGCTTCGTCAACCCGAACACCCCCGATCGGGACAAGACGGTTGAGTGTAAATCTGCCGCACCGCAGTTGGCACAGGTGTATGAGGAGAAATACCGCAAGGTTGGGATCAAGGGTGCAATATAGCTTGCCTCCTGCCCATTGGCGCATCTTCCTTCCCGCTCCCTCTCACACCTTCCTTGCCGCTCCTATCCTTCTCCTGCATTGCCCCTTGCATCACCTGTCCGTCTGTTCCGTCTCATTCACATCACATCATCTTCATCTTGCCCGCTCGATCTCACCTGGACGGTATACCATAGACGGAGAAGAGATAACGATAACTTATATATCGCAGCGACCACTCCGCTCCCCAGCCTTTCCTTAGGCTTGTTCTCTCTTTTACCACAGTCACAACAGTCTTCAAGCCTCGCATCAAGAGAATTAAGAACAGAAAACGGTATAGAGTCTCATTATTGGCGTCTTTGCGGTTGTAGTTTCTTTAAGCTAGAGGGGGAGAATCGGAATCAGGATGGTTTTATCTTTTGGGTAGCTGATTCCGGTCTTCCAGCGATGTAGCATTTTGATGATGGAACTTGACTTGTTGGGTTTATGTGGTGAGCGTGTGGGGGTAGGAGGAGGTTGCTTTTGTATGTTATGTATCGTCTTACAATTGAAGTTAATGCCAAACGCGTTGATATATTTTCGCAATTGAATTGGGTGCGCAGAATCTCTTGTTTCAGGCAACGGTAAAGTCCACACTAGCGCAATGTGGATGTCATACTGAACATCTTCAACAAGTCGGATATGGTGTAACGGTTAACATTGCTGTCTTTCACACAGCGGCCCCGGGTTCGACTCCCGGTATCCGAATCATTTTTTATTTAGGATTTGATTTTGAGGTTTAGGAGTCTCAGTGATAGACCCATTTTTTTTTTTCAAGTTGGAGGTCCGAGCAGCAGCTGAATGTTGACACCACGCGTAACTTGCGCCTGGACTAAGGGCTGTAGAATGTGAGCTTAGAAGGTCTTCCTTGCGAATAGAAGTGAGGGCCGATGTGCATGGTCCATCATGATGCTTGTAAAGTGGGAACATTATATATCAAAGCTAAGACATCTTTATGCTTGCCGTTTGTCCTTCCGGTAGCGGGATTCAGACCCTCATGGTGAGACTGCAACAGCAGAGTAGCGATGCGCAGAAGTTCCGTTCCTAGAGCGTACTTAAGGTTGAATGTACAAATGAAACTTGTGACTGAGTCGTATGTTTTATTACGCGTCGTACACCTCCCCCTAGTCATCACCAAACTTAGATCTCACCAATGTCAGACAAGCGGAGAGCAGAGATCGAGGCTAAACGTGCAAAACTCGCTGAGCTTCGGAAAGCCAGGGCAGACCGTCAACGAGCAGAAACCGAGCGACGGCAGGCAGAAGTTTGTCCACCCTTCTCCTTACTCTTACAAAGCTCAAGCTTCTCTAGCCCGGTCCGTCTAGCGGAGCCCGCCGCGACGTTGATGACCTCGTCAACCAACTCGTCGGGAGCCGCAGTGGCCTAGACACAGGCGGGGACATCACCCCTTCCTCATCCCTCCCCAACACTCCACCCCGACCGTCTACAAATTTACTCCACGGCTCGGCTCTCTCACCGTCCGGCAGGGTGAGCAGGCAGAGCGATGTCGGAAGCGATAAAGATAGAGTGAGTATGGGTACGACTATGGTGGGGATGATGGAGCATGTCGATAGGTATGTGCCCACCTTGGTCTCTTTGACGCTAGCGGTCCTACTGATGCTACATGAAGGGTGTTGACCCCGAGGTTCATACCAGACCTTATAGATGTCGAGCAGGAGCTGTTCGAGCTTCCGCAACGCGTATGTACTTCAGTCCCATCCCTTCCCATCTAAAACCCTCATTCATACTCAGGAACGCGTCATCTACAACAAAGAAGTGCAAACGACAGCCATAGAAACTGAAACGCCCCGAGTATCAGAGGATGAGATACGACAACAGATCATGCTCGAACGGGAGTTGGAGGCGGAGAGGATTGCCCAGGACAAGGAGCTTGAGGAGGAGAGTGTGCAGCTTGAGAAGGAGATTGAGCAGGAGATTCGAGGTGCGCACTCCTTCCCTTCCCCTCACTTCACTCTGATACTTCGCAACTGAGACGATCACAACTCTCAGAACTTACCGAAGAGGAACGCTCACATATACTCAGTGCACCTGAGTTCCTGGACTTTGTGGAACAATCGTCAAAGATCGTACAGCGCGCGTTGAACGATGGATATGATTACATTCGTGATTATACTATAGGCACGGAGGCAAATGGGTGTGTTTCCTTTAATTTTGTTTGTGTGCTGTCAGTATGTTAATCCTTATTTCAGGGATGACTCGGAGGGAAAGCGCGTCAAGCGTATTTGTGCATTCTATGATGAACGCTACGGCAAGAATCGATCGATTACAGATATTGATTGGTCGCCCAAGGTCTCGGACCTCGTTCAAGCATGATAATTCTTACTGACTTTGATACAGTACCCGGAGTTGAGCGTAGCGTCGTATAACAAGAACCCTGCTGCATTGAACGAGCCGGATGGGATTGTTGCAGTATGGAACCTTCACCTACTCGACAGACCCGAGTTTGTGTTCCATTCACAGGTCGGTGAGCATCTCTATAAGTGATGTGTTTGTTTGACTGATATCTTGTCAAGTCTGATGTCCTCTCTGTCACATTTTCCCCGTTCCATTCAAACTTGGTGTTTGGTGGCACGTACTCGGGGCAGATTCTACTGTGGGATACGCGATCGAAACACCTACCTGTGCTCAAGACACCCCTCTCAGCTGCTGGACATACACACCCTGTGTACGCGATGCAAATGGTGGGCACTCAGAACGCACACAACTTGATCACTAGCAGCACAGATGGCACCGTGTGTAGTTGGCTTGTTGACATGCTCGCCCAACCACAAGTAAGCCTGTTTCCGCCAAATATGGATCTTAATTGACGCCTGACTCCTGAATCTGTCCCCAGGAAACTCTAGAGCTTATTCACGCAGGCCACAATAAAACAGGCGAAGTGGCCATCACAACACTAGACTTCCCGGACAATGAAACGACCACGTTTTGGGTCGGCACCGAAGAAGGCAATGTCTATCAAGCCAACCGGTACGACCGCGCGGGTGCAAAAGCCGGATTAAATCAGTATGATATTTATAAGGGACACGCGGGGCCTGTCATGGGGCTGCATTTCCATCCTCTTGTGGGACCTGTAGACTTCTCCGATCTATTCCTGACGGCAAGTGTGGATTGGACGGTGAAGCTTTGGCGTGCAAAATCACTTGCGAAACCGTCGACTGCCGCGCATGCTATTTCTCCTATCTACTCCTTTGACGAGGCGGATGATTATGTGTATGATGTGAAGTGGCATCCAGCGCATCCTGCACTGTTTGGAACGGTTGATGGGTCTGGGAGATTTGATGTTTGGAATCTGAATACGGATACGGAAGTGAGTTTCGGTAATCTGATCTGGATCGGGCATAATTTTATGCCGTGCACGGGACTCCGTTTCTGACTTCCACTTCAGGTACCAATCGTCTCCACGAATGTCGGGTCCGGTCGAGCTATTAACAAGTTGCAATGGGACAGAAAAGACGGACGGCGGGCCGCACTCGGAGGGAGCGACGGGAAGTTGTATGTCTATGATATCGGTGACATGGCGCTTCCACGTGAATCTGAGTGGACGGATCTCCAGAAGACGGTGGCGGGTTTTATTGGGGGTTCACAGGGAAACGGAGTGGTAGACGGAGATGCTACGCGGATCGTTGCTGGGCGGTGATCGCTTTCCTCCCCGTAGTTGTTGTTCCGTGAAGTTGATTGTTCTGTTTTACTACTCGTATGATACTTTTCCGTGATTCTCTAGTCTTCAGATGCTCAAGTACGGAATTAGAGTGGGTTACACGGAACAGTAACAGCAGAAATATGCAGAGCAATTAATAGTATTACATACGAAATTTTTATCTGGGAACGATAGTGGAACAGCGATTCCGCCCATCCCGAAGGTACATAGCAGCTGTTTTGCCGTGTTATGTTTCCCAATGAGTGTCCTCCGCAACGCCTCCATCAAGACCTCCTCTTCCATCTCCTACGCACTTGCCAGTATATTAGGCCCTCCATTAACAATTCCAACTCGTAAGATGTCTACAGAGTGTCAGTTTGTTCAGGTGCGCGTCATTTTGGTTGCTCGAGTGTGTTGACTCTTGGGATTAACGTTGAGTGATAGGCTCCACACAAGTGAGTCATGATACAGGTCATGTAAAAGTTGTCCGGAGCTGAAAGCTCGCGTCTGTCATTTACAGGCTTCTGGTGTACGTCTATTCATGTCTTTGCCCACGTAGACTTTATCTCATCAGTTCTCAGCATCCCAGGACCGATTGAGGTCACGGATGAGGTGCGTCGATCCCCGAGTCCTTTCTGCACGCCCATGAACATGTTTATAGGTCCTCTTAGCCAATGCACATCCATCAATGTCGCATATGTCACCCGACTTTGCAAGAGTCTTTGGTGACTGCATTCGCATGACTAGGCAAGGACACGAGATCATGGTTGACTTGGCAGCCGAACATAAACTCACGCGTTTGTCAGACAACTTCTTTACTCAAAGGACGCGCAGCCGTTCCTGATCGCCGGGTCAGGCACGCTGGGATGGGATCAGGTATGTATTATATTCTTGTTTCCAGGGTACAAACGTGTACATTTATGGCGCCAGGTCTCTGCAAATCTCGTAGAACCGGGCGAGAACGCGCTCGTTCTGCATAGTGGTTATTTTGCCGATAGTTTTGCAGACTGGTAGGGACAATGATGGGGTAAGGCGTCGTAATGGTTGCTCATTCTTCATGGTTCTCTAGTCTGCAGACCTATGGTGCCAATGTCGACCAGATCAAGGCTGAGATTGGTGGTGCTGTTAAGGAGGCTGATATTGAGAGCGCACTTCAAGCGAAGAAGTACAAGATTGTTACCGTAACCCACGTCGACACCTCGACAGGTTAGTGATACTTTTCGGGGTGCCTGGTCCTATATGGGCTCCTGATGTCGGACTGATCTATCTTGGATAGCCGTTTTGTCCGACATCAAAGCTATTGCAAACGTCGTGAAGAGAGTTTCTCCGGACACACTTGTACTTCTCACAAGGACTCTTCAATTTACTTCTACTCACTGTGGGTGGATTTTAGGTCGTCGTTGATGCTGTCTGCTCTGTGGCGAGCGAAGAAATTCAAATGGATGCCTGGGGCATTGATGTCGTATTGACAGCCAGCCAGAAAGGTCTGGGCACGCCACCGGGTCTCAGCATCCTCGTTGTTTCTCAGAAAGCCGTCCAGGTTTGCCCTTTCCCAATATCACAGTGTACAGCTACTGACGCAAACACCCAAGGTATTCGAGAACCGCTCAACGCCAGTTACGACCTACTACGCCAGTTGGAAGAAGTGCGCACAGTTCATGTTTTTACCTTAAAATAAATGCCAACTCCCAAATAGATGGCTACCCATAATGAAAGCCTACGAGAACAACTCCGCTGCCTACTTCGCCACGCCACCCGTCAACCTCATCTATGCGTTCCATGCGTCCCTCAAGCAGATCATGCAGGGCTCTGTTTCACTTGAGCAACGATTCAAGCTCCACCAGGAGGTCAGCAGACGCGTCAAGAAGGCAGCGGAGGAAAATTGATTCAAGGGCGTGCCTCTCAGTGAGGACGTCCGGGCGAATGGCATGTCGGCAGTGCGTACAGTACTTTGATTTACGACCGAGACGCTGATATCGCACAGCTTTTACTTTCCCGACGGTTTCACAGCGAGCGATATCGTTCCTCGTCTGTTGAAGAAAGACGTCGTTGTCGCTGGCGGATTACATGCTAGTATCAAAGGTTAGTAATTTTTTTTGCGAGGAGTCTTTGTTTACTGAAAATCATCCTACATCAAAAGACAAATACTTCCGTATAGGGTGCGTTGTTTTCTGCCCGTGAAATACTTATGGAGTGGTGTGCTGACACTCTTTCAGGCATATGGGTGTTTCTGTCGTTGACCCTAGTCGGGGGGACATTGACAAGATTATCAGCGCAGTGAAGGAGTCATTTGCAGAAGCTAAGGCTAGCAAGCAGTAGAAATTAGAGCAAGACAATTTTATGTGGCATATACGATACAAGAATGGAGTACATAAACATCTCAATTTCATACGTTATTCACGACCAGCAAGTTGTACAATGTAAGGTGATTTGATACCAAAAAGAAAGATTTCATAGATGTAGCAATTGTGGAGGCCTTCATGCAGCTGCAGCAGCCTCACGATACTGTCCTTCTCCGCCCACGCCGTCGTACCACTCTTTTTCCGGATGTCGTTAAAGAAATATATCCCGCCCTGATAACAAAGTCACCAAAATGTTCGCCCTCGTTTCGCTCGAGCGCATATCGCTTGATCATAGGCTCAAGGATGGCGAGAATCTCGGGTTCCGATACTGTTTTCCCGGTAAATCTTGTTCAGGCGCTGACCGTAGTATCCGCCACCAAGAAGCATGGAATAAGATCCAGGTGCTTGCTACGAGGCGACCTCTGCGGAAATGTTGAGCGATAGTTTTATCGAGGTGAGTGTATTCTTACCCAGCAACATATGGTCTTGCGCAACCGTGTGGGACAACCAGTCATCCGCATGACAATGGAATCGTTGCGAAGCCCATTCTCCTCACAGATTTTCTCGACCTTGTCAATAAGCAGTGGTAGATACTAGAAGACGTCACCATGAGATCAAAATTCATTAGGAATTCCACAAAGTGGCTACTCACACGCTCAGACTCAGCCATTGCGAGACCTGAATGTACTCTCATCTCAGAAGCGATACTTGTAAGTGCAAAACTACTTACCGCAGGTCGGGAACGCCACACAAGCCGATGACGACAGCCGCAAACCAGTGTGGTTCAAGTTGTCCAATTTGTACTTGGCGAGTATTCTCTTGATCTCGGGTACATCTTCCGTAGAGATTTCTGAGACCATAATATGCTGGTTCGCGGTTAGACGGAACGTGCCCTTGTGTATTTTTGCAATCTCGCGAAGACCGGTTTTAAAATCGCGGCCGGGCTCGTCCTGAATACGCCCGTTCTCGATGAAGAGCATAGCGTGGTGCCTGCCATCGTCTCCCGTTGACCAGCCAAAGTCGTCAATGTTACGGTCAAACGTGTATGGTCGTGCTGGGGCCAACGGATAACCGAGTCGACTCTCAACCTCTGCTTTGAATGCATCCAGTCCCATCCGGTCAATGGTGTATTTCAATCGAGCGTTTTTACGACTGAAGATTAATCAGAATGCGGAAGTGTGGAATGCTTGGAAGACTTACTCTGCACGATTACCGTTGTCTCGCTGTAAGCACGACCTTTTCTGCTACAATAGGACCTTCTTGGACAGTACAGAAACCGATTACATCCGCAACTCGAGGGTAAGTTTTCTTATTGCCGTGGGTTACTCCCATGCCACCACCAATAGTAACATTGAAGCCAGCCAACTCTCCTTGCTCATCGACGATGGCGATGAAGCCTAGGTCGTTTGCAAAGACATCAACGTCATTAGTGGGTGGTACCGCAACCGCAACTTTGAACTGACGCAAGATCAGGATCGGGTTGAAACGAGTGCAGCACCAAGCGTACCTTTCGAGGAAGATAGAACTCGCCATAGAGCGGCTCAAAGTCCTTGACAGCCTCGCCGGCAACCATTTTCTTGTCCAACCAAATTTCGTGGTATGCTGTTGTTCTAGGCAATAAGTGAGCACTGACAAGCTTCGCGAAGCCGTAGACCTGCGCATGAAGTCGGGACAAGAAGGAATAGCGGAACAGATAACATTCCTAAGGCAGACGTGAGCGAGAAACATCACCACAAGCCGCAGAACTCACCGATTGACGTCGCCACACGCAGCCAAAGTGTCCAACAAGACCTTGTTAATTTCCTGAATGGAAGGCTTCAAGTGTCGCTTGATTACACCGTGGAACTGGAATGTTGCTCTTGTAGTGATCTTGAACGTCCCATTGCCATGTTCATCAGCGATCCGGTCCATCTGTAACCACTGCTCAGGTGTGCATACACCACCGGGCGTACGAACGCGAATCATAAAACTGTAGGCAGGTTCGACGCCTTGAGCTTGACGCTCATCACGGATGTCGCGGTCATCTTGCTGGTAGATACCGTGGAACTTCGTGAGTTGGGTGTCACTGGGATCGAGAGCGCCCGAGCTAGTATCTTCGAGACCCTCAGCAATCGTACCGCGAAGGTAACCTGAGGCCGCCTTGATATGCTCATTAGTGATCGGGTCCGGTTCTGCTTCTTTCACTTCAATGCTGTCGACGCCGAACGTCTTCCACACGAGAGGCTCCCATACTTTGTACCCGGTGTCTGGTCCATCTGCATCCTGGTCATCACCGAGCCCGATATCTGCAAAGCGCTCTCCCCCCAGCTGCTCCAAACGAGCATCAAGATCCTTGCCCGGCTTGTTATAGTAGTGAGCATCTTCTGGGCGTGGCCAGTAGTGGCTGTCACCAAGGGCGAAGACCGAGTATCGAAGCTTCGAGAAAGGCTTCTCTCCACGAAGAGCAGCAGCGTTGAGTGCTTTAAACAAAGTCCGACCATTTTGTGGGGGTTCACCTTGGCCTGCTACAGATGTGACGAAGGCCACATATTCCTCTTGAGAGAGGGTATCGATGGACATAGAGTCGATGGTACCAATGGACGTTGACAAGCCTCTGGCTTTACCGCGGTTAGCCAGTCGCTTCGCAAACTTCTCTGCAGTGCCACCATCCGATGCATACAGCACTACCAACGGTGGCGCATCAAGCGAGACAACCAAGTCATCATATGCTTGTTGTGCCTTCCTCTTCCTCGCCTCCTTCACATTCTCGCCCAAGCTGCTCACCAGTTCCGTGGCAAGCTCGGGCTTAGAGCGCACGAGTTGCGACAAATGGTTCTGCCTGTCAAGGAACTGCTGGAGGTCATTCTTCACGGCGTCCGAGTCGAGCGCAAATGGCTCTTTGCCTTGCGCTTCCTTCACAGGGTCCCAACGGTAAAGAGGCCAGTACCCAGCGTCGACAGCGAGCTTGGTCTCCTTCAAAACCTCAAGTGCTGGTGCATCCTCATTTTGATAAGGCAGGTATGCGAGCACGACACTGGGGCCTTTGTGCCTGTCCGCCTCCATGACTGCTTGCAGTACTTGAGCGTACGACGAATACACTGCGACACTCGCTACATAGACATTGCCGTGGTTCATTGCGTACAGACCAGCGTCTTGCTTACGGCGGTGTGGATCAACGGAGTTCCGAGATGTGTAGGGAAGGGTGTCGATGATGAAATGTTTATGTCGAGACCGGATGCGATGGCGTGGTGCAGACCAGAGGCGCCAAGATCATAGGACCAGGCGTCTGAGCCAATGATCCATCTTGAGCGTGTAGGGAAGTGTGAACGGAGTGAAAGAATGCGGTCGATGATAGGACTCGAGAACTTTGAAGACTCGAGAGCGGTGATGAGTTCTTTTCCCACTGAGCGACTCTTGCTATCGTCGTCCCTGACAAGGACCCACTGGCTACAAAGTTTATGCAGCTCGGGGGTGACTTCCTTGATCTCCAATAGCTTCTGCACAGAGCGAATGAGTTCATTTCGTTGATCGAGTTGTCCTCGAACGCGGCCCACTGCAAACTCCGGACTGGTGGCAATAGCACCTTGTTTAAGCACTAAATCAGGCGAATTGGAAACTTCGAAACGTTCGCCAAAGACGTGAGACAAGATCTTCGTATAAGATGACTCGTGTTTGGGTACGTGTGGCACTTCCAGCAAAAGATTTGAGGAAGCGCTGATGCCTCCAAGTTGAATTGGAGCAGAAGAGGGAGCTGCTTGGAGAAGCTTCAAAATTGCAAGGGGAGTCACTTGGGCAGGGTCGCTGAAGTAAACGCTCTGGATGTGGGGTCGCTGATCTACATCCTGCTGGTGAATTATATTGACAAGTTCAAGGTACAAAGGTGTCCATTTCGTGTTCCAGCGGTGGAGTTGCTCGAGAATGATGACACGTGATACAGATGGTGGAATGACATCGAGTATGCGGGAGGGGAGTAGGGGAGTGAGCAAGCTGAATGAGACAACTGACACTCCGTCAATGTCTGCAAAAGGAATATCGCCCAACCCAAAGATGATAGTGTGGGGTTCGCCAGAACCATGCACAGATAGTGGGGGGCATGCGCGACGAATGCGAACGACCGTAGAAAGCGCTGCGCGCTCGTAAAGCTTGAAAAGTTCTGAGCCAGGGGATACTACGGTTGTCGAATGACCGTTGAGACCGTTGGTGCCATTTACACCGTTCGCATGACTGTTGTGCCCGTTCGCTCCATTTGCACCATTCGCATGACTGTTGTGCCCGTTCGCTCCGTTGTGCCCATTCGCTCTATTGTACCCATTCACTCCATTGTGGCCGTTCACTCCATTGTGCCCATTCGCTCCATTGTGCCCATTCACTCCATTATGACCATTCGTTCCGTTGTGCCCAATCACTCCGTTGTGACCATTCACTCCGTTGTGCCCATTCCCTCCATTGGTTGACGCAAGCTTCTCCGAGAGAAGGAAAGGCTGCACCTCACTCTCCGGTATTACCTCCACTGGACTATTTTTTGCATCATAAAAGACATGCACGACTGCCTTCTCCGTACGTGCCAACCGAGATGCCAGGAGTGAGTTATCGTGTGCTTGTTGGGGGGTTCTGGAGACGAAGAAGAAAGGGAGGGCAGAATGGAGCAGAAGGACTTCGGACAAGTCATTTGTCACGGCAAGATGCAAGACAAGGGGAAGTGAAGAAAGTTCAGCAGCATCCAGGACGAGCCTGGTTACGGTCTGTGCTGCTGCTGAAGAGGTAAACGAGATGAGTCCAGCAGCCGATCCGTTTCTGATTAATGTCGACCCTGGGTCACCGCCTAGGGGCACCGACAAGATTGTCGGACGTCGACTGGAAGTTGCAGAGAGTGAGCTATATTCTTTCGCGAATTGTGAGGTTGACGGAAGGATAGGTTGGGAATCTACGATGATATCCGAAGCCAGATAAGCTACCCGGGCCACACAGGTAGTACTCGACATAATGACTTTAGTGAATGTCGGCTGGAACACATTAAATCAAAGGTGAAATTGTCAGTAAGAAGAAGGATAACTTACCTTGACTGCAAACAGAATGGAGGGGGAGAAACTGAGGATGCAACGAGACCATAACGCTCAATTAATCAGATCCGATGACAGCGAAAGCACATCATTCTGATTCATTCATGTGCCATTTGTTTGTCCGCATCCCACCGAATTCCGAATTCAAGTTTGTGCATCACATATTCATATCGCAATGCACCCACGGCCTCCATGACAGGTAACAGGTGACCTTACGAAGACTAGAACTGTACTAAAATATCATTCAACCTATGTATGAGCCATCGGAGCCCTTTGCAATACGGAACAGAGCGGAACATTCCCCACTGGAGCCATATTTTTGAATTCACATTATAGCCTGCTTGGCTTGCTCCTCCAGCTCATTCAGGTAGTGATGTGCTCTTCCAAGCATCCAGATGGGGAATGCAAATTTGAAGTTCGGGTATGATATAGTGCAATTTTTGTTAAACACTCCTTCAATCGCTTCCTGGGGCCATGATCCATCCTGCGTCATGGGTTAGCTTCTGAAGACCAGCATTATTTGCGCTAAACTCACGGGTAACTGCCTATCGATGACCAACTTAATAGCCTTTCGGATAGGCTCGGGATCGGGATATTTCGCGTACATGAGGGCCATAGTCGCCCAACAAGTCTGTACGACCTGTGAGTTTTCGTGCTGTATCCAGGTACCCTGTTCGCAGGACTACGAAACAGATTAGAAATTTAGTCATGGATGTAAAATTGGGTGCACCCACTTTGTAACTTTCGCCCCAACCACCGTCTTCTCTTTGCCACGAGAGAAGGAACCTACACGCCCGTTGTGCGTGAGAGCTATTTGAGTAGTTCTCTCCAACTAGCGAAAGACTCTCAAGAGCAAACTGTGTTGCATATGTGAAGCAGATTCCCCAGGAGCCAACCCAGCCACCTTCGACTTTTTGCGCCTTGTGTAAGAACTGTGACCTTTGATGGTTTTTCTGAAATCATGTCAGGACGATAAGTGGAGCAGCGCCTCCTTGCTCACTCAATCTCAGCAGAACGGTAGTCAGGATAGTGTTTCCTGAAGATGGCCAGCGATGTAATCACGGAGTGGTTGTGCACTCCGGATAACAGAACTCGATCATGATGTCACCTGCAAGTCGTCATTTGAATAGTAAAGTTATGAGGATGTATGACTTACCGAAAACCTCTGCAGGGTTCAGCCACTCGAGCCACTTGGGACCCCTGACTAACTCATAACTGGCAAAACCGCCATTCGGGTTCTGCATAGTTAGCATGACATCCACAGCATCAAAAAGTCGTTGGTCTGAGATGACTTTCTCTGCGCCTCTGTCGGAATGTTCAGTTGGCACTTCAAACAGATCACAGTAATACTCACTCGACTTGGTTTTGCAAATACAAGACCGCCTTCAGCCCCTCCCCAGTACAATCACTAACCGTATACCCCTGCTCTTTGGTGCTAAATGGCCAAGCTCCCTTTGTGGTGTGACGGTAAGATGTCTCGTAGTGCTTCGGGTTCTCTCTGATCTGACATATATCCAACCACCCAAGCGCCTTCGATAAACTCTCCTTATTCACCTCCTCCTTTGCAAGGCCGGTCTCAACGAGCGCCTGTGTAATGAAGCCAATATCCCACAGCTGGCTCCCATTCGTCCCGCACATCATCATGCCTTCCTGGCCAAGCCACATAAAGTCTGCACGTTTAATAGCGTGCTGCCTGTATGCTTCACTGTCGGGGCCTTCAACATGAGCACGGCAGATGAGGTTCATCATTTTAGAGACGGGCCCAATGGTCTGGTATTCGGTGTTCTCGTCCTCGAGAATGATGAGGTTGTATGCACGTGCGAGAGCTGCCCTGCGGAGGGGAGGGATGACGCAGCCCTCGTACATTGAAAGAATGGAGTTCATGAGATCCAGAACAGTGGTATGAGGTGAATACAGGTCTGCTACGCATACATTATTACGTTGTGAGGGCCAATGGATCTGATAATAGTTAGTCGGGTATAGTTCCTGCAAGTTGGACTGTTAGCGGACAAAATGTAAGATTCCGTGATGGAATTCTCGCCTCTCGGAGCGCTCGAATCAAGTCATTTTCCTGCATTTTAAATCGGATGCCGTAGAGATAGCTCATCGGCACATAGACAGTCCGGGTATGTATCCACCAGCGATGAGGATGGATAGGCAGCCAATCAGGAAGGAGCCTTTCAGAAAGTCGAGGCGTTAGTTCAGGTGCCAAAATAAAAGCTTGCAAACGGACCAAAGCTCTACAGGGACTGGGTTTACACCAGCCCAATCATACACGTTCAAAATTGCGAGCCAGAATTTGCCCCATGCGGGAGCACCAGTGGCTCCTCCTGTGCTTGGAGAATTAGACCACATACACCAACGAAGACGAGCATGAGCGCACCAAGTTTGTGCAATGTCTCACGGGCTCTTACAGCAGCTGGGTGATCTGCTTGCACACCAAGAATCCGGAGAGCAGTATAATTTAACGCTGTCCCAAAAACGGTCGAGTGTCCTTCAATGTGTCTGTATGGATTTATAAAACAGGACGAATAGCAAATACGACGTTACAACTTACATTCCCCAACCACCGTCTTCTGGATTAACATGGTTCAGAAGGTAGCGAATCATCTCCAGACGCTCCTCCTCCTTGAAGCTCATGCCAGACACGTATGACCCAATGACAAGGCCGGGGAGAAGGAACATGGGGCCACCGTACTCGCCCGGCCAATGTCCATCATGAGACTGAAGGTGCTTGTAGAATGTATACCCATTGCGGGCGGCATCCAGCGTATCCTTAGGCTTAGGGAGTTCGGGCAAGTTCTATTCCGTTGAGGACTGAGCGCGATCGCGAGCCAAAATTTGAACAACACACTCACGAGTGGAATACCAATCCAGTACTTGTCTACATCATTCTGAGGCCACTTCTCGCACTCCTCGTCTGTTTGAAGGTAGTGCCATGTGTGCCTTCCACCGTCATTTACCAGCAACCTCCAACGGCTGTAGTCAGTGAAGGGCTTGTTTCCAGACTCTGGAATGTCGAGCTGGGGCCACAATGTAGAAACCTCAGCTTCCGTTGGCATGTACATCATGGTCAGAAATGAGAGACAATTTAGACGCTAAGATTTGAGGTCTTCTGAAGCTGCTCGTATGATACAGCCAAATAACCAATATTTCAGTTGGTTGAACTTGGTTCATAAATCCGATGATGTAAACAACGCGTCCACAACAGAAATCACGTATTTCTACTGTTCCACGATGGTCAGTTTCCGAGACTCGTCCGTCGTTATCATCGAGTCCGGCAGAACGCTCATCAGAGCAGGCGTTGGCTTGCATGATCTACTCAAGGCGCCATCTGTCGTTCGTATCATCCATTTTCGCATGTGAGATTCCATATATGAGACATGCTACAGGAAATACAAGCTCGCGTCGGTCTGCGACGCAATCCAGGTGAAAGCGCAAATGGTGCATGCTATCTCAAGTCAGGCGAGGGCAGCGATAATCCGCGTCCCTTCGCATCCAGCAGTCGTGTATCGTCTTTGCCTTTTCAGCCTAGTCCCTCGGCGAAGGTTCACGACTATCTCGTCGGCTCACAACTAGACGAGGCTCTTGAAGCTGGTCACGATGTTATCGTCTCATGGCCATTTGCAGATGGTGATGTTCGTGATTGGATTCAAGCGGAGGCACTCTGGTATGTCTGGAATTCTATTTTTGTGTCCTCACCTCACATAGTGTGACCAAGGAAACATGTTCTATTCCATACACTTCAACTCAAGCGAACTCAGAACGAGTCTCCTGTTATGCTGTCCATGCCAGCAGGCCTCTTCAGAGATTCGTCAGAACACATATGTCAGATCTTCTTCGAGCGCTTCAATGTCGCAGGCTTCGGTCTTCTTGACCGCCCTATGGCCCAGCTCTATGCCGCTGGACAGCTCAGTGGAGTCGTGGTCGATATTGGCCACGAAATAACCGACATCACCCCAATTTATGATGGATTCATCATGCAAAACGCTCGTTCGTCTACACCTATAGGCATCAGAGATTGTCAAGTTTACCTCGCCAATCTCCTGCGCTCCAATCAGTCAGTCATGGCAGCGGCATCACCTCCAGACAAATCAGGTGACCCAGAGGTTACTCAGAGGTTTTTGGAAGATCTGGTGAAGCATATTTGGATGGAAGGCCTTGTCCGCGTTCCATCAGACGGGCAAACGGTAGATATACCAGAAGATGAAGGGGTCACAGATATAGCGGCAGTTCTCGTTGCTGGCAAGGAAAAGGCCGTGATTGAGACAGGGATGAAAAAAAAGCTAACTGCGAAGGCTTCTGCTGCAGAGCAAGCTCGGGCGAGGGAGATTGAGGCACTTGATCTTGTCACTGTAGAGTTCCGCGGATACTCTGTCACTCTGGGCAAAGAGCGGCATCGATTTTGCGAGCCGCTCTTTGATCCCATGCTGCTGAACGGGCTGCCTATCGAGCGGGTGGATCCTTATGAAGGGAGAATATTGCCTTTGCAGGAGGCTGTTGCATTCTCCGTTCGTCAAACGGATGTCGCCCAAAGGCAATACATTTGGCAAGGTTTGTTTGTTAATGGCGACCTTACAAATTATGTGAAAGGTGCGTGATCATGTACCACTAGTCAAGTTGGAATTGATCATGCAAAGGCATCGGAGCTGCACTGCAGTCGCGGTTAGCGCCTTTTATCCTTAGCACTCCAGACCAAGCAACTGAGGTGCAGCCGCGGTCGATTCGCGTCCTGACCGTGCCTGAATACTTTGCTGAATACCGAGAAAAAGGAGATGGCTTCGCGGCTTTCCTTGGCACTAGTATTGTTGCGAAGGTATGTGTATTGTTCGATCGCATTCAAGGCTTGATGAACCCTTAGATCGCGTTCAATGAGTCACATGGGAAGAACTTTGTGTCGAAGACTGATTATAATGAGAAGGGGCCACACGCTGTTCTAGAAATGTCTCTAGCTTCGTTGTAACAATTCTTGCTATGTTTTTTTGCAGAGTGCGATGTAAAAGTTGACCCCTTGATTAGGGGTGGTTCTGTCGGAGTTGAATCCGTTTTGGTCAGAACTGTACAGTTCATCCACGATTCTGGAAGTTAGATTTTATCATACCCAAATCCTGCTCGTCGTCATCAAGTTCCCTCAAGGACTCCCCGACACACATAAATCTACCAATGGCCCCCTCCAAGAAGTCCAAGGCAACCAAGTCTTCTGAGGTCTATCGCATCTCGTCTTGCGCTCGTCGTCAAGTCGGGGAAGTACACCCTTGGTTACAAGTCTGCCCTCAAGCAGATGCGCAGTGGCAAAGGTAAGCACTCTTTGCACTCACGGGGACTGGAGCGTGAGGCTGAGAAGGTCCCTTGTGCTGACAACAAATGTCTTTTGTGTTTGTCTCCTCGCATTCGCGATGATTTAGCCAAGCTCGTTCTGATTGCTGGTAACTGCCCACCACTGCGCAAGTCTGAGCTCGAGTACTATGCCATGTTTGTCGAAGACGACCGTGCACCACTTCTCTGGCACGAACGTCGCACTTGGCACTGCCGCCGGAAAGCTTTTCCGTGTTGGGTGAGTAGTCCTATATATTTCAATCTGCAATTTCAGGCTAAACGGATTATCTCAGGGTCATGACTGTCACCGATCCTGGAGACTCCGATCTCCTCACCTTCGCAGAGGGAAACGCTGCATAAAACTAAATTGCGATGAGAGCAGGAAGTATAGGTTCACGCGCTCTACCATAGCCATATTTCGTGCAATCAGCGTGCTAGTAATTATGTTCGCTACCTGTCGTTATGATTAATGCAATGTAAGGATGCCGCAACATGTTCGCTGAATATATCGTGTCCTTCTGGCCTATAAACTCCGAGGGAACAAGCAACAAACGATGTTCTCTATCCGCATGCGCACAACCAATCTACTGGCTGATTCTGAGGGGGCCATCATCAACAGTAATGCGAAGGCTCACAAGCCTCAAGATCGCCAAACCGGAAAATGTGTTTCGATCAGTAGGCAAACAAAATTCAACGACAGACAGAAATCCTCGAGAACCTGTGCTCTGACTGATTGTGACCGGTGACCGATCGGGAAAACAGAAGAAAGAAAGGTCATTTTAAACAATACATCGCAGAAAAGCAGTACAATACTGTCGAATAACGATTATTTGCAGTGTATAGTGTACCCGTAGCAGTACGAGATAATGAAGACAGCACAAGATGACGACGAACAGTAGATGACTCGAATGCGACAACAACGACAGCCATTTAGTAGACACGATTCTGCCTCTCGCCGCTACAGCCTGAGTAGCAAGACTTAAACTATGCTTCTCTATTGACCACTCCATCTTTTGCAAGCTCTCCGAATTTCCGTTCGAAGATGGAAAAACCGATGGTCGTAGGAACGAAATCGTTGTGCGGAGGAGGGCTAGGCATGAATTGAGGATACGAGAGCCTTTGGTTCTCGCTCAATGACGGCGGCTTCCTTTGCACGTGGTGGTGGAGGACAAGTTGCTTTGATTGCAAGGACGGATTCACTGGACGAACCAGATCATCGAGTGGAATGATGCGGTTCGAATCTGAGTCATCCTCGTCTGGTGCGTCTAATCGTCTCCATTTTCGGGAAATCGGTGCCACCGGCGCGAGTGGACCAAAAGGTTTGTGAGGTGGCAGTGAGACGAGAGGAATAGTGAATTGCCATTTATGTAGTTGACGCTGTGATGGCAATGGTGGAGGATGAGTCATAATTCGTCGTGATGGTGGTGCAGTAGCGACGAGCCTGTCAAAGGCCATGGTCATGGGGCTATTGACGAGATCTTCATGATCAGTCTTGAAGTGGAGTTCGAGTTGAGATGCTCGCGGAAAAACTCGCTCGCAATCTGAAAAGGCAACACTGAAAATGAAGTTGATTGCCATTTTCAGAGTGAAACATACCTCGGACTGGACAACTAATTGCAAGACGAGACAGATGGCTGAGGTCCACATGTGCTTTAAGTGCATCTCTTGAGGTGTGTACACGACCAGCACATCTCAAATATCGACATTGGTACTGTCCCTCCTGCAAGGACACCAGATCAGCAAAATAAGGTAAGTTGATGGATGAAAAAACTCACAATGTTGGATGTGCGATCACAGTGCCTTAAGGTATGCTGTGTAATAGGGAGGCATGTATTAGTACTGACCAGTAATGGAGGATGGTGTGGATGAAATGGGTAAAGTGAGTGAATACTCACTCCAAGAGCACATTAGAAAACCTTCAGCATGACCACTCAGCACTGTTGACTTGAGAGCAAAATGTGACAGCTGAAGATTTTCTAAAGTATCCCTGGAGATGAGGACAGCTCAGTACACCACCATCAGAACATCTATGACTAGTGTCTAATACATCTACTAGTACAGTAGATCAAGAGCTAATCTAAATTCACCTTTGTCAAATTATACCAACTGTTGAGAATAACTGTGCACCCTTCCCACTCGCATGGCATGGGTTTGATTACTTGATGAGCAATATTAGTGATTTCATGGGGGGACAGGAGAAGATCCGAGGGCCCAGCAACCTCAGACATCTAACAAAAGATTGGTGGTTGAAAAGTTGAACAGTGTGTTTTCCATGACAGAAATAAACATAGGTAAATATGCATGACCACCTTCTCGATCGGCGGATGACTAATCTCCCTTCGCTGTGGACGTCGTTTTCAACTCTAGCCTGCCAAAATATGATTGTCTGAAGTGCGTAACAGTCAAGATCAAATCCCATCACAATCAAAATGGACTAGGCTGGCAGACTTGTCACTGTCACTCATGGGATCATTATCAGCTGTCGAACATAATTTGGAGTAATTAATGGCCATTCTTTGCAGGACATTTCTAAATCTAAACTTGGTAAATCAAGTGTTGGAAGTCACATCTGTGTTCACACTATGTGGTAGTAAGTACTGTGCCCAAATTGTGGCAGAGTCGAAATTTTGCTTTGTTGACACTCGTGTCTCAACCATAGTGCAGTCACCAGAGTCTGTTCGTAGTCTAATGCCCAATCTCATTTGTTTCATTTCTTGTGGTTTATGTCATTAGGCTGGTAACGAACTACATATACTATCATGCTCCAGCCTGAGTAAGAATTTTCAACCGTGCTTCGGCCGCTCGGGCTCTTCGTTCCCGCTCCACCTTTGCTCTCAACTCAGCAGTTAAGCCAACAACACGATCAGCTGCGCCGGACGAACCTCCGAGCTTTCGAGGAGCCGTAGGGTCTTGAGAGCGAAGCTCCGACTTTGTTTCCACCTGTTCGTCATCAATGTCAGACTGTTTACTTTCCCGTTCTCTCTCTCTGGCCTCCCGTTCCCGCATTTTCTCTCTCAGGCCTTTCTTTCTTTGTTTTTTCTTCTCGTCCCTCGCTTCTTCCTTTTCCTTGTTGAACGTGCTTGGTACACGTGCCGCTCCGAACCAGTCCCACCAGTCAGGGTGATCTCCCGCGCATTGGCGAAAGACGTCACGGACTGCTCTTGTACGGGCCAAGTCATAGGCAGTACGGCGCGAACCTGTACCTTGTAGAGGAGGCACATTCGATGCGTCAGATTCATTGGCAGCTGTTTCTTGATGCACGCCTAAAGATGGAACGACGATGGTTGGATCGGCGTGCAGTTCGTACAACAGCCAGCGCGTAACGTCTTCCTGACCTGATTGTACAGCGACCTGGAGCAACGATGTGCGCCTATCCTCTGTCCATTCTGGTATGGGAGCGTCGACGCCACCAAGGGAAGCGCCTTCGCGTTCCCAAAAGGATTTCAGAGGCTCTGAACGACCTTTGCTGATCATATCTAGTAATCGATACCACTTCTCACGGTAGATTTCCTCCTCCTTAGTTAATCGTTGTGGTTTTGCCTTTTCAGGTACCGCAGCAGGCGCGATGGAAGGTGTAGCTTTGGGATTGGGCAAGGAGGCCAAGAACGCTTCGTCCTGCGCCCGAAGTGCTTCCTCTGTAAGATGTGACGTCTTCACTTGAGTGAGCTCCAGGAGACATCGCACAAGCTCAGATTGAGTCTGCAGGCGGAAAAATAAGAATAACGCATGGGACAGCGGCAAAGAAAACGTACGGGTCGGCGCGTTGGAAAAGGGAAGGTCCTCAGACGATCGTCTCCTTTGTTGATGACGCAATTCTCATAGTCGAGAAAGATCCGCCTGTTAGAGACACTAGCACGTAACCAGATTCTTTCGCAGCCCTGAATGTCATCAGCCCAGTCAAGAAGAAGGTTGCGAATATCCTAAAAATATATGTTTAACTATAGCGAACAAAGGGTGAGGCGCGCTTACATCTCGGAGAGCTTGCTCGCCATAACGACGAAGCATGGCACCTGCACTAATGGCAGCACCCTTGGAATTGTCATTGACCGATTGCGAACCACCTTGTTTACGGCGAGCTGAACACGAATTGTTTCAATACAATGAATAAGACGATCATAGGTACACCTACTAGTGTAACGATGAAATGTCTTGTGTTTTCAGGATTGACGTCTCCGACTTGGGTTTGGCGGTTTCTTCTTCGTTTTTTTGCAGAAGTAGTAGGATCCTGAATCTTCTACAGGTCTACTGACTTCTACTATTTGCGCCTGCAAAGTGACCTCCGGCGACCATAAACATAGGCCCACTTTCGTCCACCTTTCACACGTTCTTGAATGGTCTTCAGCTCCGCCAAGTACGACGAAGCAGGGGTATCCATTGGAAATAGCATTCTATACACCCCCAAATTGAGTAGATGGAGGTGAATGGAACCAAGTAAGCGCTGTAAGCGGTATTTGTCGCTCCTCGCTGTGCGAAGGTGATCTTGATCTTCGCTTGATTTTTTTGACTAGAACCTTGACTGCATCGGAGTTATCAGAACTCTCATCAGATGATGCAGACCCTGAAAGTGAATCTTCAAGTCCTAGCTTATACGAGGCGGATTCGTGAAAGTTGATGACAAATAGTCAGAAGTGCGTACCGTCAACAAGTTGCGCGAATGCTGGCCTCCGTCACAGCGCTGCCACCCCTCAGGGCGAATCTTTACATTGTATCGATGCCAGTCGGATCGAAAATGAGATCTTTGCTCAGTTACGTCTGCAAAGATTGCTCCGAGACAAATGTTACACGCCCTCGCGTTGTCTGATACTGGAGGAGTTGTTTGTATGAGAGTCGAGACCTCCGTGGGTGGTGGTTGACTGATTAGATTTCCGAGTGTAAGGGTCTCCAGCAATTCAGGAGGTAGCGAAAAGACATGGTATCTCTGGGCCATTTGCGCTGTTTTTGTTAGGAGTGTGTTGATAAAACCTGAGAAAAAACAGTGGAGATATAGGGCAAACCACGGACCCGTTAAGATGACTTGGATGAGCCTAGTCACCAACCTGAACGATGCCTAATGTCATACTTCGGAAATGACCGAATTCAGTACTTATATTGATTGGCCACTAAAATTAAAAAGTTTACAACCGCCATCATGGTGTCTGCAGATTTCGCTCATCGGCCAGTCAAGAAGCTTGTGCTATTCGATGTCGATGATACGTTATCGCCCCCACGTCAGGTAATCCAGCTTCCCGACGACTAACATACTTGATGTCACGGTCGAGATCTCCTGACAGAAGGCATCTCCAGAAATAATTCAGCTCTTGCGCGACCTCAGAAAGCAGGTCGCTATAGGCTTTGTTGGCGGGTCTGATCTCGTCAAGATATCTGAACAGCTCAGTGTTGGCGATGTCAATTGTACGCAGGTTGTCATCATTGGCTGCTAAGAGACTCATACACACTCGCAGTTCTGGACGAGTTCGACTTTGGCTTCGCTGAGAATGGCCTTACCGCGTATCGACTCGGAAAGCCACTGGAGTCGCAGTCTTTTATCAAAACGGTAGGCGAAAAGGACTATCAGGAGCTGGTCAACTTCATATTGCATTACATCGCTGATGTGAACATCCCAATCAAACGGTGAATTTTTGTTATCTTTGACGGCTGATCAACAGATTCACCTGGAAATTGCAGTGGAACGTTCGTCGAGTTCCGCAATGGCATGATCAACGTCAGTCCTATCGGCCGAAATGCAACGTGGGTTCACTTAAGTTCTATTCACGGACTTGTTTTTACATCCCTTGGCTCGGCAGCGTCCAGGAACGTCGTGATTTCGAGGCTTACGATAAGGTAGTAACATGAGACAATCACTCATAATCTTACTCACCGATCAAGTGATTCTCGGCAGGAACACCACATCAGGGCGAACTTTGTGGAAATCCTGCAGGAGAAATTTAAACGACTGAATCTCACGTTCTCTATCGGTGGCCAGATATCATTTGATGTCTTCCCGCACGGATGGGACAAGACTTACTGCCTTGGACATGTCGAGAAAGATAACTTCGAAGAAATCCACTTTTTCGGGGACAAGACGAGCAAGGTAAGAGTTGAGCTTCATATTAAGTGACTTTTCATTTTCTTGACAATTCCTGCAAAGGGGGGTAACGATTACGAGATCTTCATCGATCCTCGCACTGTCGGGCACACTGTCAAGAGTCCTGCAGATACGATGAGAATCTGTAAAGAGCTTTTCCTATCATAAAGTGCTCAATTTCAGTTCGAAAGTTATGAAGTTGTACATCTGGATATATCTTACGAACAGGGTCAGAGAACTTTTAGGAATCATCAATGGGGTGGATTGTGCTACAGAGCACTCTGTAGCAAATTGTGTTTCCCTGATGGGCCATGTTATCCGGATTGAGTTAGGAACATGAATTCAACATGCCACAAACTTCCTTCCTGCAACGCTTGTTTCAATGTCTTGCACCAACTTCTCTCTCTGGCAATGTAGGCTCGACATATTTCTCTATTTTCTTTACATGGCCTTACAGTATGTACATGTACTAAATCCCACATGCTGATATTGCGTACTACTAGATGTACCCGAGTGTTCGTGCTTTTTGACGGTCTCACGTATTGCTCTCGATCCACAACACAAAATAAATATCTGATAGTCATTAGTAGATAGAATACCATTTCAGTAACATGGCCCAAATTTTTCTATACATAAAGTTGATTTGTTGTGTTACTACAGCATGACCGAGCACCACTAGTCTATCTCACCTAGTGTTCGTGCATTCGTCACACTGTCACAGGTTGCCGACATTGCCGATTAGAAGTCCGCTCCTGACCATGTGCTTTGCTCGTGAGAAATCCTCTATGCTTTTCGACGCTAAGTGTCTGCAGGATGGGAAAGGTGATTAGGATATCGTCTAGGTACATGAAGCTTCGACTTTAGCTAATCTTTGCAAAAGGAATGGTATATTGGGCAAAAGCCCACTGCAAGTGCACGAACCTGAGAGGTTTCAAGGTGAGCTGAGATCCCATAAGTCTAGGAGTGCAGCGATGCTAACTGCGAAGCTTGACACCCTTGAAGGTAGGAGGTGCACTTACAGTTGAGGTTACCACACTGGAGGCATTGTGTGCCGGGTGAAAGGTTCTAATGCTGGAGATGATTGGATGTATGGCGCGATGATAACAGCATGTTCGCGCAAATAGAGCGTAAAGGCATTGCTTGACCACCTTCCCATGGATTTGACGACGTTGAAGGGGACTCCTCTTAGTAGGTATTCCAGAGTTCTGCCTATTCTAAGTCCGTGACCTTTTAGATCTGGGATCTTAGTGTTGCACACAATAATACTGAGCCTTTTGAAAGTTCTGTTTTCGAAAGGGGTCTCAAGCCCTTTGGATGCTTCCAAGCAAAAAGGTGTGCTTTTCTGTCCGCTGCGTTGATTCTGAAATGGTTTTCGAGAGCTGCTTTTGGGTCTGACAGACCGTCTTGTGCTGCCCAGAAAGTATCTTCTCCTTTGATTGGTGATGCTTTAGTGCTCAGAATGTGAAATTTCATTACGGGTAGATTGTTATGGTCGACGGCTTCAGAAACATTTTCACGTGTTATGTGGTTGGCAGGGTTGAAGGCTCTGATAGCAGGCACCGTGAATTCTCCTAGTCTAGTGATAGAGTAGAAGGTGGTGGTAATGCATGCAATATCGCGGCATCTAACAGGTCGTTGAGGTTGATATTTGCTTGAATTGTGGACAGTATTTCAATGGAGAATGGTTGATGTTTGGAAGATTTGGACGATGCTGGGGCTAATGCGGTTGCTCTGTCTAGTATGGCTTTCAACTCTTTTGTGTTTATTATCCACTGCCGTCCATGTAGAAGATGCCATGCCTTTAGGCCTGCGGCATAGTTTGCTAATGCTGTGCTTGAATATGAACTGGCACAACTGGATAGGAATGCGAGAAGCAGAGTGGGGGAAACTGGACAGCACTGGTCTTCTGGTATGTTAAGTGAGTTGCAATAAACGTGAAATACAAGAAGTCCTGCTCCATATGTCTCCTTGGTAGAGTTTGCCCACGACGAGCCTATTACTTCCAGGATGCGGTGTCCTGCATGATGTGGGAATCATGCATGGACATGAATACTAGGTGACCCTCAAAAGATAAAGTCTGCTAGCTTAGTCCTCAGACTAGTCAACCCATACCTTGGTTTCAAACCATGGTCCATATTTCTAGTTTTCCCCAAGTTTCATGATCTGAATACGTTTTGACGGAAAAAGTCTAATGTGAGATGGGAATCACATTTAGACCTAGTTGATGTGAGAAGGGAAATGAAGGTTAAGGTATAGCCTTGCCTTTGGCTTATTCACTTTGGCTAGAGAAAACCATAGAGAAAAGTACAAAGCCAATAAAAAACCTATCCAAAAAGACCATGTTTCAATTCCTGCCAACTGCATTATTTTTTTGACTGTGTTTCAATTCCTGCCAACTGTCTTATTTTTGCTACCTACTTTTCTCTAGTGTTTCTTTACTTTACTTTTTCATTAGGATGCTTTGACTCACCTGACACTTCATAAAATTGTACCCATAGGGTATGATGTCATTATGATGTCATAAGACTCCACAGATACTCCTGCAGGTATTCTGTTGAAAGAAATTATGTCATCAAGCTCTAGATTATTCTACTCTACAATGACATCATTCATGATGTCATTTCCTTCTAGAATATTCTGCTCCACAATGACTCACTCTGACTCACTCATGGAAGGTTCTGGAATCTTTTGCTCCACAATGATGTCACTCTTGATGTCATTATGATGTCATTACTCCACATTCCAGAATGTTCTGCTCCACAATGATGTCATAGCTCCATCTTTCACTTGTATTTTATTCTTTTATTGGGTTTGACCCAATATTTTGATTGGTCCTCCTTATTTTTTATTGTTTGTGAACCTAGGTTACTTTCCCACACAAAATGTATATAAGGAGAGCCCATTCTCCCCCAAAAAAATATGATCTCCCATTTGTAGCAATCTGCCTCTCAGATATTTCACTTGCAAAGTTAGTCCCTTTGAAGTGAGACAAGTGCAGGGAAAAGAATTCCCTTGAGATTATAAGTTTCTTACCTTAGAAACTTATTAGTGCCATAGACCAAGCGTTCTTGGTCATATATATTGTCTTTGAGACCCCTTTGTCTCATTGCTCTGTGCCCTTTGACTAAGCGATCTTAGTCATCTATCATATTGTTGAGACCACGTCTCACTAGTTGTCCCATAGACCAAGCGATCTTGGTCAAGTTATAGTCCCCTTTGTTCAAGCGATCTTGAACATATATTGTATATTTGAGACCATTGTCTCACAGTCAGGTGTCCATAGACCAAGCGATCTTGGTCATATTTTGTATATTTGAGACCACGTCTCACTAGTTCCAGTATCCAAGTCCAGAGCCTAGAAGGAGATTTCCTAGGCAAATACATTCCAGAAACCGAATTACGTGTCTAGAAGCTTATTCCTAGACAAGAGATTTGAGTTTCAATAAAGAAAAGTAAAGCTCTGGCTAGGTTGATCTTTATAAAAAGATTAGTTTAGCGAGCCTCCCAAGAACTCACACGTTATCTACCACGAAATAGGAAAAGTCGTAGACCGTGTTAATCGAGGACTGGCAAGCAGTCTTATCCAAAGTGTAATTGTGGTGTCATTACATTTACACAACTTTATATAAGACCCTCGGTTATTACGACAGCGAAACGATGTCCGAAGGTACTTATCCAATGTCCAAAGCCAAAGTGTGATGTCCGAGATTTCAGACTTTTGGACTTCACGATAATAGGTCGGAAACTTTATAATGAGTGTCGGATTGCGAGCGGTATGCGCAAGTATAACAAGTGACGGAGTATGACAGTGAACAAATGGTAATATTTCACAATGCAACTAAGAACTATGAGAATATTCTGGGTGATCCGCAGAGTCGGGAAACAGCTCCTGACTACTGGATGATGATTGCTACGGGTCACTACAGAGTATTTAAGTAAGTACGTAGAAATTCGGAAAACTACAGGTGAAGATAGTAGTGATATATTTCGGGTCCGATGTCCTATGTAATAAGACACGAGGTGCTGCGGACATGTAATAACGCGGTCCAAATGTCAGAAAACATGCACAGGAATGACTACACACTTAGTGAGGCTAGTTCGGTGTCTTAATAACCGAGGGTCTTATATAAAGTTGTGTAAATGTAATGACACCACAATTACACTTTGGATAAGACTGCTTGCCAGTCCTCGATTAACACGGTCTACGACTTTTCCTATTTCGTGGTAGATAACGTGTGAGTTCTTGGGAGGCTCGCTAAACTAATCTTTTTATAAAGATCAACCTAGCCAGAGCTTTACTTTTCTTTATTGAAACTCAAATCTCTTGTCTAGGAATAAGCTTCTAGACACGTAATTCGGTTTCTGGAATGTATTTGCCTAGGAAATCTCCTTCTAGGCTCTGGACTTGGATACTGGAACTAGTGAGACGTGGTCTCAAATATACAAAATATGACCAAGATCGCTTGGTCTATGGACACCTGACTGTGAGACAATGGTCTCAAATATACAATATATGTTCAAGATCGCTTGAACAAAGGGGACTATAACTTGACCAAGATTGCTTGGTCTATGGGACAACTAGTGAGACGTGGTCTCAACAATATGATAGATGACTAAGATCGCTTAGTCAAAGGGCACAGAGCAATGAGACAAAGGGGTCTCAAAGACAATATATATGACCAAGAACGCTTGGTCTATGGCACTAATAAGTTTCTAAGGTAAGAAACTTATAATCTCAAGGGAATTCTTTTCCCTGCACTTGTCTCACTTCAAAGGGACTAACTTTGCAAGTGAAATATCTGAGAGGCAGATTGCTACAAATGGGAGATCATATTTTTTTGGGGGGAGAATGGGCTCTCCTTATATACATTTTGTGTGGGAAAGTAACCTAGGTTCACAAACAATAAAAAATAAGGAGGACCAATCAAAATATTGGGTCAAACCCAATAAAAGAATAAAATACAAGTGAAAGATGGAGCTATGACATCATTGTGGAGCAGAACATTCTGGAATGTGGAGTAATGACATCATAATGACATCAAGAGTGACATCATTGTGGAGCAAAAGATTCCAGAACCTTCCATGAGTGAGTCAGAGTGAGTCATTGTGGAGCAGAATATTCTAGAAGGAAATGACATCATGAATGATGTCATTGTAGAGTAGAATAATCTAGAGCTTGATGACATAATATCTTTCAACAGAATACCTGCAGGAGTATCTGTGGAATCTTATGACATCATAATGACATCATACCCTATGGGTACAATTTTATGAAGTGTCAGGTGAGTCAAAGCATCCTAATGAAAAAGTAAAGTAAAGAAACACTAGAGAAAAGTAGGTAGCAAAAATAAGACAGTTGGCAGGAATTGAAACACGGTCTTTTTTGGATAGGTTTTTTATAGGCTTTGTACTTTTCTCTATGGTTTTCTCTAGCCAAAGTGAATAAGCCAAAGGCAAGGCTATACCTTAACCTCCATTTCTCTTCTCACATCAACTAGGTCTAAATGTGATTCCCATCTCACATTAGACTTTTTCCGTCAAAACATATTCAGATCATGAAACTTGGGAAAAACTGGAAATATGAACCATGGTTTGAAACCAAGGTATGGTTTGATTAGTCTGAGGACTAAGCTAACAGACTTTGTCTTTTGAGGGTCACCTAGTATTCATGTCCATGCATGATTCCCACATCATGCAGGACAGCGAAGTGCGATCGGCCGATGCGATGTCTGAAGGTCCGATGCACCAGATCCGATGTGGAGTGGCTCGGACATGTGCAAAAGTGCGTCGGACATGTGTGCATATGTTTCGGGTGTTGACGTGAGTATGGAAAGATGTGGTTTTGAACCCAACACCACGACCATCACTGCAACGTGGTTTTGAGCCCAACACCGCAACCATCGCTACAGCGGTGATTGCGAATCGGAGGAAGGAGAGGGAGTCATAATTTTAGTGTATGTCGACAACGAGTAGGCTATTTAACATACCTGTAGTGACATTTGGTGCATTCTGAATTGATTGAAGATCATTTTGCAAGCTTCATCTAGGAGATCTTGATTGATCTTGGCTAGACTCCAGCTGTTCGCGCTGCCTATGGCGAGGTGCCACCTTCTTTGTTGTTGTGCTTGGTAGAAAAGCAAGGCATGTTGTTTGTGAACGTCGAAGTCATGACGCCAGCGATGGTTCTGTAGTGCTGACCAAAAGGCAATATGCATGTCTACCCTGTCATCTGGCCAACCATTATCTTTCATTGAAGTCACCATGTGGGGTGCTGCCTTATTGAATTGCTCCCAGGTTAAATTCTCATCTTTGACTATTTGAGCTTTGGGATCTCAGGCAGCACCTGTGGGTATCCATTTGTGTAACCCGTCTGATGAGGGAAGCATGACGAGGGTGTCTTCATTGGCTGTGAACATGGTGCAAGACACTTCTTCTAAGCCGGTGTTAGTGAAATAGAATAGCTCACAATAATCTCCCAATTTCATCTTTCAGATGGCATACTGGCATGGGAGGATTATTGGATTGGACGGAACATCTATGTTGCGGATTGGTGCATATTTGGATTTGTTCTTCTTTTGTTCTTCAGATATGGCAGCTTCTTTTTCTGCGAGAAGGGCTTGTTGTTTCTGGGCTTCTGCTTCAGCAGTTTGCCTTTGCTCTTCTTCTGCTACCTGAGCTTCTTCTTGGATTCTAACTTCCCACTGACACTTGTCTGCGTTGTTCTGAATTTCCCATAGGTTAGCTAGAATTTTGGCAGTTTGTTGTTCGTCTGTCGTTTCATTCATGAGTTGGGCATGAGCTAGCGTGTATTCTGATGCTTCAAAGTCTGGGGCCATGGCTAAATTAGGGTTTTCTGCTAGCAAGGGCATTTATAGTGTATAGGAATTGCAAAGAATGACAGAGTTTGGATTATACGAAATGAGAAAGTAATAATGAGTGATTTTGAGTTGACTGTTGATGTGGGTTGGAACAAAGGAAAGTCACGCTACTTTGCTTACTCAAGCGTAGACTCAATTCTGTGTTAGCCTCATGCCTCAGCTAATGCAGAACACCAGTTGTGGCATGGTGGGATTTTAAAATGATGTAATGTCTTGTAGTAGATTGTCACGCCAGATAACATATCCTTCACTTGTACATCAATAGTCTGCCAAATCAACCTCGGAAGTTGTCATTTTAGCTATATATCTGTCAGGATCAATGTTCTAAGCACTTCCGAGGTTAAAATTGGTGTGAGTTTGCCTTTCCGACACTGATCAGTGTGCCAAATTGTCTCCAAATGGTGTATATGGTATGTCACAACCCAAATAACGAATTAACGCTTGGGCAGAGACTAGGACTCGACTGAGGTTATCACAACAAGAAAGGAAGAGCAGGTACGTCTTGGATTGCTACAGTGTAGATACAAGAGGTTTGAACTAAGGAACTATCGACCAAGACATGCTACCTATATACAACTATTGAAACAGAGATTGAAACTGAGCTATAACTACTAGCCAATCATAAAATAGGAAAAGGGAATCGTACCATAGAACATCGTAGAATATTAAAGAAGCATCATGTGACCATATCTTATCTTATCATATCTAATCTAATCTATTCACAATCAAAGAACTCATCCTCTTCATCTGTCACATCGAAGACACGTGTTGTGGGTGCACTAAAGGTATTTCGGGAATGATAGACACTTTCAGGGGTAGGGTTAGGGTTAGTCTTAGGCACTGTGTATTGATGCTTAGGAAGATTCAGGAAAGAATAAGTGATTTGTTAAAGGTACTCGTGACATGGTATCATAGCACTTGCACAACACAATTATTTAAAAAATGAAAGACATAGAAATACTCATTGACAATGCAGAATCATTTCCTTTCTATATGCCAAAATGATTTGTGATGATTTGCATGTGCCAGAGCAAAGCACAAACACTAGGTGAGCACGAACTCATGGGTACATCTAGTACAGTGTAGAACCACTTGTTGACACACCATCATTCCTTGACACACTTGGCCATAACTCATTAAATTAATGTTTGATCAACCTTGTGATTCTGTAGTTAGGTCTATAGATACATCTAGTAGGCATGAATTTTTTTTGGCCAATCTCACTGAGCAATGTTTCATATATGAATGGATCATCACTGAAATGTGGCTCAAAATGGAGCATCAACTTTGTAAAGTCAATGTACTGGGCAATACAGGTTATCATGTTGCTACAAAAACTACATCAGTCAGTAGGTGACACATTCACCCAAGTGTAGACCATAAATTGTGGCAAAAGAATTGATATTTCGCTGTGTCCGAACATAGATTATGCAGAGGCCACTGAAGCGTGACACAGCAAGGCACTTAGGGGCGTGGGAACCAAAAACACGTCAATTTGTATTGACGCATCAACAATGAACGCGCTGAAATTCAGAAATTCCCAGCCATATTTCCATCCATAGTGTCGTTCTCTCGAGGATATGGCACGGAATGATGAAACAGAGTCTGAGGATTCAGGAGAAGAATTTGAGAGTTAGCGAGGTTTGTGTCGAAGTGCATCGCGCGTGTGATAGCGTTATCGCAGTGAGATGTCACACTGGTCACAGGTGTGTCAAGGACCGTTTCGTGTGACATTACTTGCCCAAGCTCAAATACACTCCTGTACATTATTATCGTCAATTATTAAAATTCTAGTACCCCAGTTGTATGTATCGAACTATTTATTATCATTCTAGCGCTTAGAAACTGTGAGTTTCAAGGTGTTTGGTGT